TTGTGTCTGGCATCACTTCAAGATGCTTAGACATATTTTCTGCCTCTTTTTCAGATGGCAGCTCTGCTTCAATGAAACTTTCCTCAGTGACCATTTCATCTCTTCCCTCTGAGGTTTCATCCATTGTTTCTATCTGGGGAGTTTTGTCTGTTTTTTCTGCTCTTGGCTCCACTGCTTGTTGCTCTAGTTTAATTTCAGTGTGATCTACTGATTTAGACTCCTGATGCCTTTCCTTTGGGACTTCTCCTGGACCTTGGTCATGAGCCATCTCTGATGAAAGTTTTTCTTCTGTTTCTCTTAAAACTTTTTGTTTCTCTTCAAGCGTTTCCTGCATCTTGATTTCCTCGTTTTTTATCTTTTCTTCCTCTTCTTCATCTTGTGCTGCTCTGATTAAGCAGCCGGTCATTTCAAACTTGCTCTGTGGCCACATCATCCTCCCCCCAGCCTCATTCTCCACTGATTCTGTCTGAACGTCTACTGCTGGCGTTTCATCTTTTAGCCTGAACTTCTCCAGGTACCCATCCTCTTCCTCTGAATCCGACAACCGCCTCTTGTAGGATTTCTCAGAAGCCACACTTTCTGCCTCTGAGTGCTCCTCGTCACTCCTCCTCTTCTCCCCCACTGCGTCCTCATACAGATCTGTGTACATGAAGGACATGGCCGTTGGCTCCTCCAGGAGGATGGGGTCAATGATCTTGGGAGGTCCCGGGGAGAGGAAAATAGGAGTAAGTGTAGTTTCCTCACTTTCAAACAACACCAGACCACCATCCTTCATTGATCGCTGGCTCTCACGCCTCAATCTCATCCTTTCTGCCCCTTCCTCCTTTTGCTTCGGTGCTTCAATGGGAGGACCTTCCCCATAGAAGACCTCATCCAGGTGCTCTCCAACTATCTCAGCTTCTGAGACAAACACAAAGGAGTCTTCAGACACAGAGGCACCATCCTCGCGTGCCTCCTTTAAAGTCTCATGCTTCTCTGTCTGCACTTTAGCAGGTGACTTCTCTGCCTCCCTCTGAAGCTGGGGAGCATCTCCTTCAGGTATGGCCACATCCAAAAGGGTAAACTTTTCAATGTAGTCGATGTCACCCATGCTCTCTGTTTCCGCAGCTATGAAACTAGTCTGTTTGTTTTCCAGTGGCTGGGAAGTGTCTCCTGCGGACTATGGAGAGATAAAAAAAAAAATAACTTACACTCAGAAATACTTTCATGATTAGATCTGCAGAATGAATAAAAAAGTAGAAATATCTTGTCTACATACCTCAGGGTAATCCGGTGTTTGCTCTGCTTCCAGTTGCTCCCTGTGGTTTGTCAAATCATTGTGGTTTCTGGACCTGATCTTTGGAGTCTGGTCCAAATAAGATAAATTGTCTTGCAGGTCTGTACTCTCCTCCTCGTCCACAGTAGGAAGTTTAGACGGGACTCTGATGTTAAGAATCTCATAGCCTTCAGAAATTAAACTGAACAACTGCTGATCTTTGGATTTTATATCCTCCAAATCTGCCTCTGTTGGCCTTTTCTCATCTTTGATGTTAGGAAGAGAAACCTCTGCCATCTCTGGTCTCTCTACTCCCAAGGTGGAGGCGGACCGTGAACTGCCAGGTCGGCTTAGCCGGTCCCCTAACCTGCTGCTTCTTCCCCCAGACCTCGTCCTCCTGCGGATTACTTTGTCCTCATCAAAGACAATGGTTATTTTACCCGCACCCCCTGAGCCCTCCATGCTGCAAGCTTCAGATGTGGTGCTAGCCTCAGACGCCCAGGGTGTAGAGCAGCGGCTGGAGGCCGTCTCCCAAACAATACCACTGTCCTCGCTTTGCACTGTCACCATGGAAAAAGATGGGTCCACCATGAGGCACTGGAGTTTGGGCTTCACAGAGTGATCCTGAATGGCTTCTCGCAGACTTGAAACAGAGAGGAACAGATAGAGTCAGAGGCAGGAGAGCAGGAACTTTGTGCCATTCCAAAGTATTACCAAACAGCCAGAAGGCGAGAGGAGATATTTTCTGGCTCCTCTCTTGGAAATCTGAGCAGAGAACAAACTAATGAATCAAATAAAGAATATTTGAACAGCACTGACCTGTATTCACACTCAGCTTAACAAATCGGAGTTGAAAACAAGGTGACACATAATTTTGCTTCTCAAGAGGATTGCTTGAGCAGTGTAGAGTTGCAGTACTGGGCCAGATGTCAGTGTGAGTGATACTCTGAAAAAATGAACGTTTGTAGGCACTCTAAGCTCTCCCTCTGGCTATGAATACACCTCGGTCCTTGCTGGGTTACAGCAGGATGACGTCCCCAAAACGTCATTCATACGAAGTTGAAGAAGAGATACGTGGCTTTCTCAGATACATCCAACATATCAGCGTCTTCTACTATTTATGTCATGGGAAGGTCAGTTCAATACATAATATATCAAAGTTAAAAAAGTGAAGGAATAAGAGTGTGTTGTGGAAGGACCAGCTAAAATGCTCTTTGTTTTCCTTCTTTAAAATGTGCCATTTATGTGTTGCAAGTAGAAAACACGGCTGTTTTATATCCAAGCAGAGGGGAAACCAATCAACAACACAACAAATTTAACTCATGTTGATATTCAACAAGTAAATCAAGTCATAAAGTACCTGTTATGCAGCTCTTCCACTTCATCATCATCATCCTGGCTTAGAGCTTCATCCTGAAACTCCTGCAGCTCAGAGTCCACGCTTTCACATTCTTCCATCTTGGTAACTTCCTTCAGATTTTTCTTTATTTTTTGTTATTTTCTTGCCCAAAGCTGGGTTTAGCGTGTTTTAGACCCTAAGTCAATCTGATTTGGGAGTTGGTCTGTCTGTTTGTGTCATTCAAAGCTGGGAGCTTCGTCTCTGACTCAGACAGGGACAGAAATAGCGTGGGGCATGAAAACAGGGGAGTGTAGATAAGAGAGGAGCGAAGGGGACAGACAGAAAGGGTTCATTTAAGTATTCACTATAGATCAGCAAACCAACAGGTGGACATAAGCCCAGTTACAGATTTTCAGGTGTGAGAAGAAACCCTTTAGAAGATACACTCACGCATGTCTCCGTCCTTCATGGTCAACGGAGGCAATGTGGCTTTAAATTTAAAACCCACGTTTGCCAAGTTATAAATAGGGCTTATGCTGAAACTGTAGCTCTCCCCTTGCTGCTGGTGGGAAGGGGTACTTCTCAAAACACATGTAACATATCTGCCACATTGCATTGCTGGCACCATGCAGAAGTCGTATTAGGTTTAATAAGTTGTTAAACCATGATGAATTAAGAAAATAAGCCAACTGCCTCAACAGCATTGACCAATGACGACTAACAAGTTAACCATGCCAAACTATTCATAACCCTTGAACCTTTTTACCTTTGGTCGAATTACATCAGCAACCTTGAGATCTTTTATTTGAGTTTAAATCAGTGGTGAACCTTCCTTATAAGAAATACTCCAGGCAGACATGGGCAATGTGGAGTCAACAAGTCATCTCCATGTCATGTATTGGTTCTACCCAACCACTGAAGCAGGTGAGTCCAATCTTCACCGTGAATTAACCTGTGCAGATTAGACTCACCTGGTTAATTGGCTGGGTAGAACCAAAACATGACATGGAGATGACTTGTTGACTCCACATTGCCCATGTCTGACTCCAGGAGAGTAACGCTAACTAATCCAGGAAGCAATAGAGCATGGAAAACATTTACTAACATTTACACAAATACTGCAGACAAATATGGGCCAATTAAGGTCAATATTCGTGGTTCAACAATAAGAGGAAAAAGTATGAGAGAGTTCTACAGTTAGAGGAAATCCTGATAAGGTTGATTCTTATATCTAACAAAAAAAAAAACAAACATCTGAATGAGCCCCTTTTAGGAAAAAAATTCTGTGGACTGAAGATAGAAAGAAGTGTACATATTTGGAATTCTTCATCTTGTTTTAAAAGGTGTAAAACTAAGCTGACAGAGGATTTTAAGAGAACTATCATAACAACAGTCAAACATGGTGGTGGTAGTTTGATCCCGTGGGTCTGATTTGCTGTTTCAAAGCTTGGGTGAGTTTCTGCAACTGCAAAAATTCATAAACTTTGATTATTAGCAGAAAAGCACCATGGACACCTGGACATTCATTTGTGACCTTGAATCGGGGGTCTTCAGCATTTTGCTCCTGAGCTGCAAGAGTCTCTCTAGGCCCCAAGGTGGCTTTTATGAACTTAGCATAAATAAGCAAATAATTGGAACAAATTTCCAACTATAGTGATTTGTATAGCTTTTCAAGTTAATCTGATTGTATTCAGTTAAACTGGGTTATAAAAGTGGCTGATTTAGCCTTTAAGTAAAGCTATCTTACTTAGATCATAGGGAGAGGCAATGCTCCAAGCCATACAAGCAAGTGAACCTATGAAGACCTGAAAGATATCAATGAAAAAACTGGACATAATCTGAGATCCTGTATGATGGTTAACTGTTTTAAGCATAAAAAAAAAACAACTTTTAATGTGGCTGAATTATAGCAAGCCTGCAAATTTTATTCTGCCTATGCAACGTGAACGATTTAACGTTTTACCAATGGTTCACAATAGCTGTTGCTACCAAACAACCTGGTTAGTTACTGTAGGTGTAACATTAGGAGAAACCTTTTCTGGTAGGACCAGGTTGGGTCATAGCCTTGTTCTGCTAACTTGTCACTCTGCTGACTGAAACGATCAGATCTGAAGATTATCATATCCTACTGCAGTAATTGTATTTCTTTTAGTTTTAGTTCAGTCACACCAATTCATGGAAACAAGACTGTGCAATTTTGCTTCAGTAACTATATATCTATAAGCACATCTAAAAAATTAGAATATTGTGAAAAACTTTTATAGTTTTGGTTATGAAAAAAATACTTACATATACAGTAGTGAAAGACTTTCTTAATTTTAATTCTTAATTATCATGACTTATAATAATTATATCTGATGAATAGAACTCTTTAAAAAAATTGTATTTATCAAAAGTAGATTTATTTCTATACACTGAGTATATTGCTTTAAATACTGCATCCCTCATCCCAAATATTCTCAATAGGTTAAGGTCATACAATTTGCTAAACAATTACAGTAACACTGAGGTTTTTCAACCTGCTTTTGGTACCATTAGCAGTGTGAGCAGATGCCAATTCCTCCTGGAAAGAGAAAAAAATAGCACATCTACATGTAGCTTGTCAGCAGGAGGCTTCAAGTAAGATAAGGAAACTTTTCAGGAATATGGAGTTAGTTACCATAATAGGGTGTGACATCATCAGTTTCTAGTATAAGATTTAGTGTTTGTTTTTTCAAATTTTCTGAGAAAATGAATTTTGCGTTTTGATTATCTCTGATCTAGACATCAAAATGAGAGTGAATTGAAATATTCACTCTATTTGTAAGGAACTTATTATATAAAATTTCCCCTTTCAGAAATAAATGACAAAATAATGTTACAAGCATTACTTACAATATAAGAAATTCTTTGAGAAACAGAATTATCAAATAGAAAAATAATACCGGTAGTTCAAATATCATCAGTGTTTTGGCATTTACAGCAACAAAGTCAATTGTTTGGGTCACAAAAACACATCTGAAGAGATTTAATTATTTTTAAATAAACAGTATTTTATAGACTACAAAATGTACAAAAAGAGCTTAGAAAAACCGAAGACAAAAAAAAAGGTAAAGAGGAAGAAATATGCATCTGACATACCTGAAAGCAAGATAGAAATCTAACGCAGGAATTATTTGCCAAAATAAATCTAGTTGTCAGCAGCTGATCCCTGACAACAGCTGAGAAGAGTTAATACACAGGAGGAGCAATCATCTGGAGAACGCTAAAACTCCAGCCTGCTGTGCTTGTTTTGCCTCAAACATCAAAGAAGAGCACAGGAGTCAGAAATAGTGAAAAAAAGGCAGAGGATCATTAATTTAATGCGGCACTAGAAAAGAAACACAATGCTGTCGACGTTGACCTATAAAAATGGAACTGAGGGTCGCAACGTCCCCATGTTATAAAAACTGTCTGTATACCGCAAATGTATATAAATTGTCATCTTCAGGAAGGGTGCTGTGGAGAACCCGAAAAAAACACAAAAAAAAAACAAGCTGCAATAAGATAAGCTCAGAGGTGAAGAGATTTTTACACCTTAAAGCTGTCAGTTCCATTTAAGCCCTTCTTAGATGGGAGATGATATCATTTCTACCCATAAAAGCACAGAAGACCATGAAGCAGCTATTCAACCTGATCCTTTGTTATCCTGCTCTGGTTTACCGTCTGTAGGGGATGGATGTTGCCTTCAAATCCTCTAGTCAGTGACAACTACATCAGACATGGTACAGCGTTTTTGATCAGGCCCAACAAAATCAACTCAGTTCTTCCTCATATCCTCTTCAGCTGGGAGCCGATGAAGCCTCTTTCTCTGTATAACCTCAATGTCTTTCATTGTTCCTGGGGAGAAGCCGGTCAGCTCATCGCCTCGCAGACTCCTTACTGATGATGGATCTGAGAGGGAGGATGGAGTTCAGGTCCTTCCTCGCATGCAGGATCCAGTATGACTGCCAAAAGGAGAGAAGAGACTGGATTTAGGAGAGAGATCAGCATGTAGTGAGACAGAGACCTGGGGAACTGATTTCTACCTCTGCAAACTGAACTTTAATGGCATCAAACTTCATCTTCTCATGGACGGCTCTGGCAACATTGTTCCTCTCAAATGGCTCTGAAACCAAAAGATTAACTCCGATATATAAAAAAAAAACAAAACAAAAAAAAACATCTCATGGTGATGCTTCAGTTCACACAAGTATGTTTCTAATCTGGAAGCTATTTGGCCTTTTGATTTTTTTTTTTAGTATTTATAAATGGAACAAGGATTAACAACTTTTTGATGCACTCTAATAAAAAGAGAAATTTCCTTCATAAAAAATTTTATGCACAACTACAGGTTCATCTAAATAAACTTTTCATGTATTTTCACTCACTTACATACTTACCTATGTAAAGATATAGGCTTAAATATTACCATAGTTTAATTTAATTTTTGTAATTAATTAATTTTTGTAATTAATTTATGAGGAATGTACAAAAGAAAAAGAAAAAAAAAACTTTTACTAGTTGTTTTCCTTCCACACAACTTTCCACCAAGTTCCCCAGATACAGCACAGTGAACAGCTAGTTTCTTTGTGATATTCTTATTGACTTCACCCCATGAATATTTAGGCAATCTTTGTTTCAAATATCCTTTATTTTTGCCTTGCTTTTATGTAATAATTTCATAAAAAAACAAATATTGAAGTTGAAATTTCCCAGAAGATTTATTAGGTTTACGTTTTTGTAATTAAAGAGATAAAGTAAATTATAATTTTATTCTATTTATCTAAGAATTTAAACTATTGGTTGATTAAACAGTCCACATGATGTTAATAGAGAAAGCTCCACCTGGTTAGCCACCTGCTGAAGTCTACAGGTTTAGATTTTTTGGTTTTAACTTTAGTTAGATATTTGTATAACCTTCAAAACATCAGCAATAAAAAAAATTCCCCATTAAACTTTCAGCATGATTTTATAGCTATACAGTATATCGTGTCCACATAAATGTTTACCTTCCACACATATGAACTTGTTTCTCCACTCTTGAGAATTGGTCTTGGGTAAAGTTGTGGCCTCACGCACAGAGATCACTTGTTTATCCCAACTGCAACACAACAGGACACAACGCTCATTATTTTTAGCTCTTCTGGCTGAGGTCATCATTTCAGCTATATTTAGCAAACAAGAGGGTTTGCAGAGTTCAACTCTCCAAGTTCACTTTTGGTTTTTTTTCAGCTGTATAAAAGTAAAGCCTTTTCTATACCTAAAGCAAATGGTTGCATCTCCAGGTCTCCTAGTCAAGCTAATCAGTCGATTGTGAGCCTGCAAAACTTTATTGTATACACTGGGTTTGCTGGGGAACAAAACAGCCAATGTTTACTGTTAACAAGGGGAATGGTGACCTAGTGGTTAGGGCATTGGGTGGTTCTGAGTTCAAGCCCCACTCCCACAGACTGCCACTCTGGCTCCCCGAGCAAAGACCCTTAACCCCACACTGCTCCCTGGGCCCCTCACAATGGCAGCCCACTGCTCCCCAAGGGATGGGTTAAATGCAGAGACTGCATTCTGTTGTTCTTTACTTGTGACAGTGTGATGACAATGAAATGCTGGGGGGAAAAAATGTGTGATGCTGTGGGCCATTATTGCTTTCAAATTGGGAACCTTGCTAGAGTATGGTACATTATTGGGACATTATGACAGAGGGACAATTTGAATAGTAATATCGTGCTCTGTATCCGTAATGTCAATATGGATTTGATTGCTCCTTGGACAAAAAAATGAACCTATTTCAACAAGCGTATGTCCCTAGACAAAAATCCTGTAGAAAGCTGAATAAAACAGGTAAGACAAGAGGACTAAGGATTGGATGATCTAGAGAGAATAAACAGCCAATGTTTTGGTGAAAGGTCAATATTCATTGTGATGGAGGTGGGTGTAAACGGGTGCCAGGTCCAGTCCTCCAGTGCTACCATGCATCTCTTCTCTAACACACCTGAATCGCCTCATCATCTAGTTCAGCTCTGCAGAAGCTTTGCTAACGAGCCACTCATTTGATTCAGGTTGGAGATGGGACACATCAAAACGTGAAACCTTACAACCTCAGTTCGCTCAAAACTATTTTTTCTCCGCTTTGGAATGAAGATTTGAAAATTAAAGGCTGGGTTTTTCCAACTCTTTAAGTATTAGATTTTTTCTTTTAGATTTGTAACATCAGAGTATTGATGTAGAGGGAGGGTTCTGTATATAAAGACTAGCATGTGGTTTGTTCTGATCCAGTAGAAATATCAATCAGTGTGTGGTCCACTAGCTGGTTTTTAGGTCAACATTACAAACTTGGCTCGGCACGTTCTGCAAATACGGGGATCATGTATGTCATGTTAGTGCTGCGTAAGGCCAAAGGTCCCACCTGCTGCTGCCCCTCAGCCAGAAACATAAAACCAAAGAAGGATGCAGGAAGGTGAGGACAGATGGAAGACCCGAGAGGGAAGAAAAAGATTAGCAGAAAGAGGTGAAGAAATGGGAGTGAGAAAATGAGCACAAACCCATACTCCCCACTTCGACACTGATACCTGAACACTGTAGCGTAATATCTGAGAAAACCCAGCAGCAGCTCGCCCAGAGACGACTGGTTCCTTGAGATGTAGGGAGGAATGTTTTTGGGTCCGTCTGGAACCATATCTATGTCCATGAAGGGATTAAAACTCTCCTAAAAATCAGGACAAAATGATCACAGTTAAAACCGAGCCATAACAACTCCGCTACCGGTACTTTGAGTGTATATCAAGAAAAAATACATGACTTAATATTAATTTCATAAGTTCAGAGGTTAAAAACACTGGCAGAGCTTAAAGAAAAAAAAAGTTCAGATTTTGAGGAATAAAAACCAAAACACTTACAGGATGAGCCTTTTGAAGAGAAGGAAGGACAGGTTCTTTAAGAGCTGATGAGAAACAACACATATGATAAAACAGAACAGCCCTTAAATCCATAAAATAGAAATAAAGTTTGCTTTACTAACTCTGGAGATAGTGAAGGACCATCAGCGCCAGCGTGTAACTGCTCAGCGTTCCTTTGCTGGCATCGTTGATCTGGTTGTGCCGTGCCCACTTCTTTATGACCAGAATCATGGGCCTAACCCTGACGTCGGCTGAAGGAAACAGACAAAGACGGATTTAAAAAAAGTTTGATTTTCAGTCAAAATGAAAGGAGACAGTAAATAACGGCGTGGCAGAGCGTCTCACCCACCGTAAGCGTAGCTTCTCAGGAGGAATGTGTTTCGGATGCCCACTGTGTTGTTGACATTCAGGTCAAACTCCAGGTGACTGATGAGGTGAGGATTAGGGAAGATAAAAACTCATTTAGGATCAAACTGGGAAGTAAACAAAAGCTTAAAGAACTTATTGCTCCTACCTGCCTCTCTCTCTGAACTTGAGGATGGGGACTTTAGCCCTTATCAGCTGAATCCTTTCAATATATGCTACAAATCAAAAATAAATCATCAGGCTCACAGATGCTTGTTTTCTGCAAACCTGAAAGTACTTTAAGTCAAGTAAATAGGTCCCTCTAGTGGACACTTAAAAGAAAACATCCTAAACAGAAAAATATACAATTTCTTTAGGGAAAAAAAATTCACATCCTTTATGTTTTTTTCTGTTTTGTGCCTTTAACACCAGAATTTTTTAATGTATTTCCATTGGAGATTCATATACAACATAAACAGAACAAAACTGTGTAGAAAGAAAATGGGGCGGGGAACTTTAACATTTATTTAAACAATAAGCAGATATCTGAAAGGGTAATGTGAATTGTTATTTGTATATTTGAACCATATTTCCACCCATAGCTGCTGTATTTTAGGCTATGTCTCATCTAGAGAATGAAATGTTTGCCCTGCTAAGCTTGAAACACATGATCAGATTTTTTTCCCCTTTTTTCTCCTATTTTTTGCAACAGATAGCATTAGCTTAAGACTTTACTTGGGTCATTTCAACACATAAATATGTTTTGATTAAAAGCAATGACATTTCATCCATTATGTATTTAGGATCTTTGTCCAGAGGGATGGTGAACCTTGGCCGAAAAGGGAATGAATGACATGGGCACTCTAGATTGTATTTTGAATATAAATGCACACTGTATTTGTATTTATTCATATGCAATAGGTCATATAAACCATTTTACATGAATAAAATAGTTTATCTGTAAACTATTTTTTAAACCCTGCATCTTTTGTTCCGCTGCACGTGCAGCTACTGCTTCCTTTGTTCTGTCACAGATATAGCTGCAGTAAGGTGACAAAATCCAACACATTTCAAGGAGTGTTAAAACTATTGCAAGCCACTGAATGTTAAAGATAACAAAAAAAGAGACCAGATGGTTTCGGAAAAATAGAAATCAAATTTTTGGTTTTAAATCACTTACGGAGGGATCTGAAAGCCCTTTTGAGTCGAGAGAGGACATCAATTGGGTTGGGACGTTTCTGCAACAGGAAATGGGTAACAGCAGTGATTACTTGTGAGAAAATCGGTGTAAATGGTTCTGATTTGGATGGAAAATAATGCAGACGTACATTTCCCTTAATCACAAGACAAAGGTCAGCATCGCTGCTCCGGGAACCCAATCCATTCATCGAAGATCCGGTCAGGTAAAGCCGTGCCACTGAGATAATCACACTTATAATGAGAAAACAAAAAGGACAACAACTAGCTAATAGTAAGGAAATTAAATCCGTCTGATCCAAACCTGGAAATATTTCCTGTATGACTTCTTGTAGCCGTGCTCGACACGCCTCTTTCCTCTCCAGATCTGAAGATTGTTGCTGACAAGCCTCGAACAGCTCCACCATCTGACCACTCAGCTGAACACACAAATACATTTAACGCTTACAAAAAAAAACAAAAAACTAACTTATCAATCAAAAAACATCTACAAAAGTCACAAGCATCTACCTTGTCCGTGATGTAGTTCTGAATGCTCAATGATATGTCAGGGACGGTGAGCACCTCTGTGTTCGGGTGATGGAGCGGATTGGGATTAAAGTGATCAAAACCCACGATGCCAGATCTTAAGGTCTCCTCCGCTGCTGGGGGAGGATTGGCAACCAATCTTAGAGGGGAGGCGGGCGATAGCTGGAGCAAAGGTTCAACTCGTTGGCGTTTGAGAGCGTAAGTACTGTGCTCATTATGGCGCCTCCTACAAAGGTTGAGATGATGAAGAAGCACATTGTGACCAATTAAAGGCAATTTCGCCTTAAACACGGGAAAGTATGGCAGGGATGGTTCAGCTGTATGCAAAGGGAGCTTACTTTCGCCCACTGGTTATACTGGCGATGTGCGGAGGGACGTATGCAGAGGTGAATGGTTGAGGCTTCCATTCGTAACGAGGCAACATCTCCACGTTTGGAAAATTAAAGCTGAAAAAAAAAAAAAAACATCCCAATATGGGCTGGTTAAAAACATCTAAAAAGTAACCTTAACTGTATATGTGAGAAATCAGTGAAAGACTACCTCTTCACTTTGTGTGATTGGTTGTTTTTTGCTTTCTCTGGTGCCAAAAACACAAACTTATATAGGGCAATATCTCCTGTTTTTGATCAATCAAACCAGATCCTTTAAGTATAAAACTATAAAACTGCGGTATGAATGCGTTCCAAATGCCAATCTTTTTAAAATCAAATGTCTTTACATTTGTTTCTCAACAGAATTTCTTCTAAAAATAACAAAACAAAACTATTTTACAGGATGAAAGCATTACAGAGCAGCAGCAAGTTAAACCAACAGGGTGATAAATGAGTCAAAGTATTTGAACGGCAGTGGCAAACAAAACTATGCCGCATTACCGTCCTCTTTTCTCTTTTTCTTCTTGTCTTCTTTTCTATTTACTGTGAGATAAAGGCCTTCTGAAACTATTTCCTTTAACTGTCTTTACCCTCAGTTTATTGCAAAAACAATCCTGATTTAAAAACATGCCCACGCACAGAACCAAGCAGCTTTCCTTTGTAGATTACAGCTGTGGCTCAAAATGTGTGCAAGCCTCCACCGTGCCTACATTTAACATGATCCACACAAATGAGGCAGCCGATCAATGTTATTTAATGGTTACCTTGGCAACCGTAACAAAAAACAATGTGAAAGAGCGCCGCAAGTAGAAATAGATGTATTGGTTATAAAATAAAATCAGAAAAATATGTTTGGTAGCAAGAGTAAATAAAAGGGAAGTATTATTAATCCCTTAATGCCAAGTGTATCATATCTGATGCATCAGTTTTTTAGACATCTGCATCATCGGTGTGATATTTCTGATCTTGCAAACCTTCACTTACACATTCAGACACATGTAGTGAACAGAAAATGCATAACGTATTATAAAGAAATGCCTAATGTATCATAATGTATGTAAATAAATGATCTAATTTCACTTATACAAGAGGTATGTTACGTATTTCAAAAGTTCAATCACAACTCTAATAAAACAAAAAAGAATTTCCTGTATTATTTCATGGTCCAGGCTTTAAAAGGTTAATGACTCCCTTAGAGTCTGATGTGTGCTGATCATATAAACAAGGAAACATTGCAGTTAGCGTGATATCTCAGATATATGGATAATTTCATCAAATCATTCTGGTTCTAAACGTTTCCTCAGACAGAGAGTTAATGAATTGTTAATTAAACACAAGTAAATTAGCTCTGTTAGGAGCCCTTTCTCAGGAAACCCAGAGAGGTTATCAGCTGTCCTTAATTAAAAACGAACCAAAAATTAAAAATCATCTGAGGAAGCAGTTAAATAGTGGGTCTATTTAATTATCTGTAAGATTTAATATGGACAAAAATAGTTTTGTTTATTTTGGATAATGGACATATAATTCATTAATGATTCTTAGAGTCTATATGTACGGATAGTTTTTTATACCCACTTCCTTTTTTAACACCTGCTATTAACAGGGATGGTGTGGGTTCAGCGGGTCAGTCTCAGCCCATAGATCAATGCTCTATGGAGTCCTATCATCTGATAAACAAGTCATCCTCATGGGTCAGGAAACATTGATAATCCCTAAAATTTGGTTACCTAATTCTCCAGTATACAGTCCAGCATAGTTAAATCATCTATTATGCACAGGTGGTTTAGTGGTAATAAACATTTTATAGCAATCCGTGTAAATTCCTATTTCTATTAATACATAGATCTGTGGATCGATTCACCCTTTTGGGTATCAGGGAGAGGAATTTGATGAGAAGAAATTTTGATTTTGAATTTCAGTCGTTTATAAACCTTATTTTATTAGTATGACATGTCGGCTCAGCAGTGCCAGCATTTATCATACTGTGGTTTCACATCCGATACAGTCGATCTAATATTAAGGTTTCAAATGAAACCAGAAATGAGACCACAGATCAGCAAACTTCTGCTAGGAAAGTAAAAAGTTGATATTCCTCCTAAATCAAAAACATTTTTGAATAAGTTCACACAAGAGGCAGAATAGTTTTTCATTCAGTCAGCAACTGAAGTAGAGGTCAGCAGACAACACTCTGTGTATATAAAATGACAATAAAAGTTGTCTAAGTCTAAGAAAAGCATAAATAATCTGTTTTCTTTTTGAGAAAAAAACTCAGATGTTTAAAAAAGAAAAAAGGGGGGATTATGAAATTTCCTGCTTTTAAATCGATTAAACTCTGACCATACCCTTTCTTAATTTATCTCTTTCTGTCTTGAAAGAACAGAATACTCCATAACAATAAAGCGAACAGCAGACATGACTGAATTAGCATCAGAGTAGAGCATTATGTTTAGATAAAATCCCAGAGGAGCCAAAGATATCCAACCATCAAGGTCTTGCAGTGGAGCCAGATTCTGATAGAGACAGTTGTTTTGGGTCAGGCTGACTGCTGATTTTCTGTCTGCTTTGAGAGTTTATGCTGATGCTTCACAATGACAAATTAATTTTTTTTTCACCAGATCCAAGCTTAAAACTCTCCAAGATTGTACCATTTCAACTAGTGTGGGTATGGATGGCATTATATGTAGTTTATTTATTTTTAAGTTTAGCTGCTTTAAGTAATGGTGCTTTCCGTACAAAGATAAATACAGTTTAATTCTACCTATTTAAAACGTAAATTTTTGATTAAATACTAAACTGGTTTAGATAAAACAAAACAAAAAAAGGGGAAATTAATTGGCTGGATATTTAGTTTGATTTCACTTTAGATGACGTCTCCTGGATGTCTTCCTTATTTGGACTCACCTGTTCGCAGCTTTCGGTCCATGGCTGGATTCATAAACCCAGGGTGCTCGTGGCGGAGGGTACGGCTCGCGGCTGTAAGCTGACCGCGGGGTCGGCGTCTTATTGCGGTTAAACATATCGATGAAAGCCACTGAGATCCAACATCAACGTTACTGGTGTCTTAAACATAACCCAAAACAGACCGCATGAATCAAATGAGGTTGAAGAAAAGCCCGAACGTGACTAATGTACTCAATCCCAGAAGGCAGCTAAAGGCATTACCAAGTAAACTGAAACTTAACGGCCCTTGACGAAGCTAACAATATATTAGCAGGCTCAAGTTTACCCTAGATTACCATCAATTGGCATAAATGAACAAGATTAATCCAGAGGTTTAAGAGTACATCGATGCCACTGAAAGCCGTAGAAAATTGTATCCCGAAAGAACATCATACTTTCTGTTACACTTACCCAAATTACATATCACATGTAAACAAAACTAACGAAGCTGACTCGCAGCGCACAAACTTCCGCATTGATCCGATGACGTAACTGAAGTGTATTTTTAAAGGAGACGTGTACTTAAAAAAAAAAAATCAGCTGAAACGAAACTGGACTGGCAGAGATTTTTCAGTGGTGCTGGTGGAGAATTAGGGCCACTGAAAAAAAAAATTAAAGTAACTGATTTTCACATTTTATTTCAGTATAATATGACAAAAAAGTCACAATTCTGAATTTAATCTCAGAATTCCGACTTTTTTTCCTCACAATTCTGACTTTTTCCTCACAATTCTGACTTTTTTCTCACAATCCTGACTTTAATCTCATAATTCTGACTTTTCTTCTCAGAATTCACGTAAAAAGTTGCCTAATTGCGTAATTTTCCACCAACCATTCACTGGCCCTCCCAAACAACACACATCTTTGTCAGTGAAGCTGGGTGCTCCCACATCTCTTCCTTTATGGTGTCCATCTACATTAAGATCCACAATTCTGAGATTAAAGTCAGAATTATGAGAAAAAAGTCAGCATTATGAGATTAAAGTCAGAATTCTGAGAAAAAAGCCAGAATTCTGAGATTAAAGTCAGAATTCTGAGAACAAGTTCAGAATTCTGGGGAAAAAAGTCAGAATTCTGAGATTAAAATCAGAGTTCTGAGAAAAAAGTCAGAATTATGAGATTAAAGTCAGAATTCTGAGATTAAAATCAGAGTTCTGAGAAAAAAGTCAGAATTATGAGATTAAAGTCAGAATTATGAGAAAAAAGTCAGAATTATAAGATTAAAGTCAGAATTCTGAGATTAAAGTCAGAATTCTGAGATTAAAGTCAGAATTCTGAGAACAAGTTCAGAATTCTGAGGGGGAAAAAAGTCAGAATTCTGAGATTAAAATCAGAGTTCTGAGAAAAAAGTCAGAATTCTGTCAGTCAACTTTTTTTTATTTTTTCACTGTCCCTAATCCTCTTCTGTAATAAACTCTCCTTACAAGCCAGTGTTGGTTTACTGAAGAAATTGTGCGGTGCCAGCTATGTTTCTATAACTTTTTATGTTCAGGTACATTTCTGCTTTTAAATGGATTGAATATGTTTTTATTTTATTTTTCCATAAGTGTTAAGCAATGGAGAAGGTAATATCCTTTTTTTGTTGTTGTTTTACATCTTTGTAAGGGCTTGATAATCACTGTCAGTACATTTTTTCAAAAATGTGTTAAAATAAAATCCATAAGACATGATAATGAATTTGGAGACACCATAATAATAATAACAACCATAATAATAATGATAATTACAATAATAACAATTAGATTCATAAAAATCTGGTGTATTAAAAACAAAACTTTACACTTAATTATAATAATTTATTATTCTTAAAATTAATGGGGTATTTTACAGAGCGACTGCGAAGTGTCTGATTTGGTTAAAGCGCTGCTGTCAGTGACCGTTTTAGAGATGACTCAGACTGTTAGTGAAAAAGAGCAAATTAACTTGCAGCCTGGTGATTGCAGGCTACACAATCGCTATACCTAAGTGGAATCATTTTTATACACAGCATTACATTTCTTTCAGTACATACCTGTTTAAACGTTGCTTAATGTAATAAAAATTTATTCTGAAAATATACAAATTGGGTTGATTTGCATGTGGACTGTTGTTGGGTTTTTAATCCAGAGAAATGTGAGTTTAAAAGATTAAAAGGAAAATGATCAGCACAGAGACAGGGTTTTGTGACGTCAGCATGTGCCGGGTGGAGAGAAGAATGCTGGCTTGGAAAGCCATCACCTTCTCCCACAGATCCCTTCATGGCAAAGCCTTTTATTAACAGTTTACAACATCAAACAGGCGGGCCTAAAACAGAAAAGCCAGTAATCATTGTCTGGGAGGATGCAGGTAACAAGATAGTGTGAATTGACCAAAAGGCTGGATGGAAGTCACACCTCCGTGTGATTCTGCCTCATGACCTACAGGAGGTCATAAAAGTTTATGACCCTTCTGGTTGAAACACAGGATAGATATCACTCTAACAACTGTGAATCAGATAAGTTCAATAAAATGATTATCCCTGCTATCAACTTATCTTCATGTCATGAACATAACATCCACCATGAAATCTTTTTCCACACTTTATTAAGTTCCACAGTCAGTAAATCCAGACATCAAAGATAAAACAAATAATAGCTTTGTTGTGCAAACTCAATAAATAGAAGTTTGATATTAATGATAGAAAGTAAATTCAATTCTCACATTTTGTGTTTAGTTTTAAGTGCATTGGTCTAAATTAGGGAGTGTACACAGTTCAACTCAGGGGCCGTTTGTGCCCTTTGGATGTTATTCAGCCCCTGAAATGCAAGCTAATGTAGGCTCTTGATACAGATAGTTATTTTATTTAATTACATGCACATTTATTAAAAGCATGTTAGAATCATCTTACAATGAAAATTGTTCTGACACATAGAAATCAGCTGTTGCTATTTTTTGAAAATACACCAAATGTTTTTATCTTTTTTTTTAATGAGCTCAGTAGAAAATGTGAATTGAATGTCTTTCTGTAAACCAGCACTGTTCCTTTAACCGCTATTGGTGTTATACCTGTAACGTCCAGATTTATCTGCCATGAAGGCCACCGACAAGACAGCACTGTAGCACAGTTAAACAGTCTCTCTGTGTTTTGGAATCTGAAAACAGACCTCTTTGGACAAGCAGATTGAGAAGCCAAGAGAGAAGCCATACAGACCCTTCTAGATTGAATCCTACATCAGAGAACAAACAATATGCCTGATCAGGAAAGTGTCAAATCTGTTTGGTTGCGTAACTGAAACTTTTAGCTTAATTAGCTCTTGCGTCTAAGGGGAGTTCAGACAGTCATAGGCTGAATCCCAAACCGCCCCCTAAGCACTAAACCTTAATTTTAAAGTATCACTCCCAATGAAGTCACGCTGTGGAAGGGGCCTTGATTGAAGGTTGGGGAATGGGATGACTTCTTTCCTCCAACGGAAAAGGAAATCAGCCGTTGCTATGGCAACACAGTGTCCCAATCCCAAACCATCCCCTTAACACTAACCCTTCATTGTCGAGTTACCACAGAGGGTCTGCTACATTAAGTGCAATCCCCAAACCATGTAGTGGATAAGGCCAGTGGAACATTCAGCCCTTAAATAGTGAGTCAGGGGCCCAATCCCAAACCGGTCCCTAACCACTAGCCCTTCACTCTCAAGTGTCACTCCCAGTGAAGTCACACTTGCGGCTATGGAAGGTGCCTTGATTGAAGGTAGGGGGGTATAAACGAGAAGGGGATGGCATCAATGTTTTTTTTTTTTTCAGAACAAATAAAAAACTACTTTTTTTTAGAGCTGAATTTATCAGTTTTTCTTGAGTTCTAATTCAGATTCCATATAAAATGGTAATTTTAACTTAAATTAAGTAAAAAATTAGTAAAATTCCAAAAAATCTGTACTTAAAAACTGGAAATCTAGGGAGCCTCCAAACAAGAAACATTGGATCAACGAACTGTTGTCATACTGCACTCCTGAAAAAATTCTCCATTCGGTATGTGAGACATTGGCTAAATTTGACCATATATGGAGTCCCTTTTTGGACATTCTAACAATATTAGACCTGAGAGACTGATCAATATTGATCTTCACTGTGTTTCAATTATTCCAATATTTTTGTTGTGCTCTTTTATCTTAATTCTGACCTTTCAGAAAATATAGTTAATGCTTACTACTAGTGTACATGTGTTGCTACATGGAGAGAGTGGTTGGGGTGGGTGGGTTTGTTTTTTTGTTGTTGTCTCATTTTTTTCTTTGTTTTTTCTTTAGGTTTCAAAAATAAGAAAAACACAATTTTATTTGGATATATATATATATATATATATATATATATATATATATATATACCTAATAACGCATACAATTTTATTTAAACCTAATTGAATATAAATTTCACTTTGTGCAGGTATCTTAATACATTTGAAAATAAAAATAGTAAAGATGACTGTAAATTTAGTTCTAACATTTTTTATTTTATTTTATTTTTTTAAGGCCCCAAATCAAAATGAGCTAGACACAAAACAGAAGAGAAATAACCATGACAACGTGTTTCTAGGTGTTTCTCTGACTCTTAAAATACCACACACTGCCTTTACAACAACATTGAGACCAATCCACATCCACAAACTTATTTAAAATAACAAAAAAGCATCAAATGGCATCAGTCCCCTGAGCGCAGAGTGACGTCACTGCGGAGGACGGTGGTGACGTCGGCAGTGGGAAGGAAGCGGATGCATCATCCAGCTGTGGGGCTGGGGGGGTAATTAGGGTTACTGCAGGATAATTTGGAGCTGGCTTCTTTGGGAATGTCGGGATTTCACTCGTGTTAAAGTGGGGGGGAAAAACAAGAACTGATGCTGGAGAAACAAAAAATGAAACTTTGAGGAAACGCTGTTAAGGAGTGGAGGAGTGGGGGGGGTGTAGCCTGTGGTAATAGGCTGTGAGGGAAAGTGGGAGTGGGGAGGGGGGGAGAGACGCGCACAGTGATGCTGCGCGCTGTCTTCTCTCTAAATGAGGATTGTCTTTCCCCAGTTGGAACAGCGGCAGGGTTTCTCCACCCTTCCAGAGAGGATCTGGGTTTTACTCAAGAAACAGCGGGGCGTCCGTGGGATCTTCTCCATCATCATCTTCCTCCTCCTCTGAGCTGGGGTCTGCGGCTGCTCCTGCAGCTCCATCATCCACAGCAGGAGAGCGTCTAACCACCGGGGCATTTGCGCTACGACATGTATGAGTGAATTCATGCGGTGACACGAGAAGAGGAATGGAGCTGCTGTCAATGCATTCCTGCAGACGCACCGACGGTCATACGCTGCAGACTGTCTTTTAGAGAGAGGTGGAGGGGGGGGATCTTCATACGCAGCAGCCCATCCAACACATTGGCTTTTTTATTCCAGCTAGAAGCGATCAGTGTCGCCTTTCATTCCAGCCACAACAATGGGGTAAGTGGGAATGATTTAACCTTGCAAGCTGAGTTAATTTACTTAAAAAAGAATAGCCTTGACATGAAGACCTTTAATGGATTGGTCGTTCATGTGCAAAAAATGAAATTTCAGCATATTTTAGAGTGAGCTTTATGTGGATTTATGTGGATCTTTCAGAAGTGTGGCATCACTTTGAGGCCTTGGTCTGCTGAATAAAAATAAAAAATGTTTTTCAAATAGCAAAAATAATAATAAAAACAGGATATATGGTTCATTATGTTCATTTAAAATATACTTAAGTAAATTAAATGTCAGGGCAACAATTCAATATCAGACTTGCTTGCCAACTTGTCTGACCCTGGACCAGTCCTCAGCTGGAGCTCCATAACAAAACAAACAAAAAAATAGTGTCAGTCTTTTATTTTCTGACTCTGCAAAAAATAGTTATAGCAGCATCTTCATCACACTGATCCATGTTCATATATAAATAAAAAGCAACTAAATAAAGGCAGCACCCCGATGAATTACCCCTATGGAGGATTTTATATGATACAATATTAAATAATGACACAATACAAACTACTACAGCTTAAGTGTATAATTGGGTCAATGACATCACAAGAGGTGATGTAGCAGTTCTGTACAAAATCCTTTTGGGACTTAGAATGTTTGATGATGAAATGTAGCTCCAAGATCAGGTCATTTTTTATCACCATGTTGCAAGTTCAGGGAAATGATCCTTGAGGATCTTTGATCATGAAGTCTGGTCTTATTCCAGTCTGGCCTTAAATCTCCTCACAAACACATTTCCATGTGTTTCACAGTTGGAAGACTAACATATAGCTCAAACGATTTGCTGCAGCATAAACGAATAAAAGGAAACACATCTGAAGGTGGAAGCTGTTTGAGGAAAGTGAAAATAAAATGATAAAATACAAACTGACCCTCTTAAAAATACTCCAATGTGTTGCCTTGTGCCTTATGAGATGTCATCAGAGACATGTGCTAATGAAAGTTTGTGTTTGAGAGGTTAAATATTAACTTAAATAAAAAGCAATGACTTACATTTGCTTCCTTAATTCTATATAGCTGCTTGAAAACAAATATAACGCACAATCATTTTTACACAGTTATGTAACTGAGCACCAATCTATAAACCAGCAACACTTTCTCCATTATATTCTCATTCAGAGATGGTTTGGAGATGAGCTGTACATCCTGTTCCTTATTCTGCTGGTTGGTGAAGAAGAGCATAATGTCAGCAGCGGAGGAATGTCAGATGAAGCTCTAGAGCTGCACTCTGTGCTGACAGAAAGCCGCTTTCTGTCTCTATGGCAGCACAAGCGGCCGCTGCACACCCCCAACCACAGGCACCCATAAGTGAATCAGCCTTAAGCCTCACACACAGGGAGCGCAGAGAGTGATGCTCATTTGCATGTCCCCCTAACCCTGAGCTCAGCGGTCCGTTTCCTCCACTCAGCCTGCCATTCATTAACAGCTGTCTCTTGCACTTCATTGTGATTAATTACACAGCAGGAGGTTAATAATAATGTGGCACACTCACAGTGCAATTTCTAGAAGTCAGCCAAAACTCCTGCATTAACTATTTAGTCACCCACTCTCCTCCTACAGTGTGGGCAGCCCAGCGTTCAGCCATGTCCCACTCAGCTTCAGCTCTCCACTGGTTCCTGCCATGCTGGTGACTAACTGTTATGCAACAGATTCAATGACTCAATTGATCCACAGTGGACTTTATTGTTAACTGTAATCCAAAGCTTCCCGCTGCTGCCAGTTTGTGTGTTTAGGTCTTCTGTGACTTATAAAAGCATTATTACCACTTCAGCTTTTCTGGATTTTACTTGTTCCACCACAAACTTCAAAATTTTTTAACCTCCCCTTGTTAAATAAATCCCAATGGTGCGTTCCTGAGAAGACAAGATGTGGAAGTTTGCTTGCAAACTTCAGCAAAGGCACTGTGTATATGCACAGGGGCAGATTAGATTAGCTGGCATAAAGCTGCAGCTCTGTTGCCTGGCAGCCTGACTGGTAATAATGGCAGATAGAGTCATATTTCACTTCCAGACTCGCGGCTCAATACGAAGCCTGTTGGAGCTCTGATAATAGCAGAGAGGAACACTGTGGTGCTGGACATACGGAGGTGATCCCTATCAACACTTCCGTTTGCAAATGCAATCAGAGCACGGTGACGTAATCCAACTATTCCCTACAAATGTAGCAACAAACAGCCTCCCATCAAAATCTGCTTAATTAATACAAGGGAAATCTATAAAAAATAACTTAAATGAAGATTTTAGTAATTTTTTTTCAAAATCTTTAGGCAAAGAGGTGCAGGAGCACATCAAGAGCAGAGCACATTCAGGTAGAAGAAAAGTGCAGCATTCTGAGGGATAATATGATACAGGTGTGTGCAGGCACTACCTGCTGCATCCCAGGAGCCGCACATGAAAACTTATGAAAGTTGGAAAGTTCATGGCTGTCTTGTTGCGTGTTTATTTTGTTGGCTAACTGTTGGCATAAATAATTTAGATGCAAAGTAAAAATGTAAGCCATATTAAGGTGTATGACAGGAATCAGTTTAAACAATATGTTTAAAATGACAATACATGTTTAAACAAAGACCTTTCCAGAACTTGGCAGCTCCTAAGGAAAGTTATGCCTCCTCTTGTTCTTTTGCAACAACACATGCAGTCAATATTAAACCATATAACCAATGATGGAAACAATGATGCACTTCCTTACATCATCAGCAAAAATAGCTCTTTTATTTTTCACAACTCCAGACTGCAGATAATTGAACTCAACTAAAGAGAAGAAAACTTAAACCAAGGTCAGAGGCCTGACATTGGTTTGTGTTTGGATAATAGGAAAAACAAAAACACACCAAAAAAACCTTTCCTTTAGTATTTACTGTGAAAGCATGGGTAATGCATTATTTCTGATATTATCTCAATTTGTGGAAAAACTTGGTGAGCATAAATTAAAAGATCGAAACAGTGAGACAGATGCAAAATAATTAACCCTTGATATTTAGGTGGTTGCTATTTCTTTTAACCATTACGTGTGTATTTAGGCTTTAAAGAGGCATACTTGGTCATTTTATGCCTATTTATATGGTTTGATCAGGACCCGTTTGTTTGGGAATCACACTCAAACAATTTATCAGTCCCAAAGGGAAAATTGATACAGATAGATTAATAAAATGAATATTCTGTAAACTGCCCATAGTACACGATAAACAACATTTCTTTACTCAAATCGACCAGCAGGAGGTCTGGTTTGATCAGAGGTCAGAATCTCTTACAGCATCAGAGATCAAAACCCCAGTGAGTGTTTATAGGGCACTGTGATTAAAATAAAAAAAAGAATAAAAGAGTAACTTGGAATGTGAAATGTAAGCATTTCTATGATAATATATGTCCATAATTAATAAAAATTATTAACTTTAAATAAAAATAATTTTTAAGGAAATGGGGTGTAAATCACGGTGGTAATTATTGACTTTATACCTAGATGTAATTCAGTTTTACAGATATTTACAAATCAAAATATACTCCGCTAAAGATCTAAAATGATCTCTGGGATAGCTTGATTTTTTTGCTTTTTCAGTAATATAATATCACACCAGAATATTTAAAATAAAAAAAAAACAACCTAGTTTACTATTCTCAGCGAGTAAAGAGCAGCCCACATTAGGAAAGCATTATGAAAACATCTCATGTAAAAAGTTGCTAAAACTTTATATAAGTTCAATTGAAGCATTTCATTTTGCTTTCTCTGTCATTGATTAGGTTGTCTTTCAACCTTTAACTAGTTATCTATAATTTCCTCTGACTCCAGGTCCTGCTAGCCTCTCTTTAAAATTATAAAGACTAGAAAACCTGGTACCCAAACCAGACAGGTGAATGTTGGTCCTCATAATCCAGGAAACTGCCGCTAGAGAATAAGACACCTTTCCTTTTTCATATCTACCGTCAAAGAACAAGAACTGAAACCTTGATAACAGCTGGAAATGTGATCGATAAGATGAACCATGAATCAGAGTTTCTCTTATCGATAAGGAGGGAGTTTAGGGAGGTAAATATGACCCTCCTCACTTAACTTCTGTTGTGAATGTAATAATAATTGAACTTTATTGATCTCACATTGGAGAAATTTACCTCTACATTTAACCCATCCCCTTGGGGAGCAGACGGCTGCCATAGTGTGGCCCCCGGGGAGCAGTGTGGGCTCAAGGATCTTGCTCAGAGACGCAGAGTGGCAGTCTGTGGGAGTGGGGCTTGAACTCAGAACTCCAAGCTCTATGCCCTAACCACTAGGCCGCTACTCCCCCCCATGTGTGAATGTTAAATCATCCTTAAAAGGAAAGGTTGACATTACGGTTTTTTAGACATCTGTAGACGAGTCGATCATTATGGACGACATGAAGCATTAGTTCTGATAACCTTCTTTAAACACTTCCATTGCATTTCCCCAAAGTTCCCATTTCTTTCATCACTTGGAGGAGTAGTTAAAAAAAACTTCCCACTGCCTTCATCCTCTTCTTCTTCTCCCAGGAGATGGGAGGATTCTTCATCACTCCAGCTTCTTCTTCATTCATCACCTCCTCCACATTTCCCTCATCTCTCTCTCTTTTCTCTTTTCACATCATCTATCTTTTCTGCCTTTATCACTCCCCCCTCCTCCGACCTCCTCTCTCAGCTGCCCTCCTGTCGTTGGATGTACTCGCCAAACACCTCCTTCTTCTGCTCTGCCTCTCTTTTTTTTTCTCACTCATGCTTTTCTTCTGTTATTGGAGGGAGAGGTGCACTTTCTCTGACCGGGCAATCTCTCCTCTTTCATGTGCTACTGAACCTGAAATTACTCTAGTAGCAACTGCTAAAAAAATACAAGTTCAACACCATGGGCTGACCCCCATGTAGCTGAATCATAAGAGGCCCTCTGCAGTTTTGATTTGATGACAGGCATGTTTTTTTGAGTTTTTAAGGAAATGAAAAAAGGTCTCATTATCCAGTCCATCATTTGTTTCCCTCTCTTTTCAAACTTGTGTTGTGGGAGTAATTATTGCTTCTTTGACAGCTGGTGGGTGGCGTTTTGAAACAAAACTCTTTGGCTCAGGCAAGAAAACGGAGAACAACACTGCTACGTTTGGACCAATTTGCCTTGCTCCATCAGAATTATGCAATCAGATAAAACATAAAAAAAGAAGAGGAAATAAAGAGAGAGAGAAAAAAATGCCGGCAGTTGTCAAGCGGCTATATAGCAGGGATCATACGAACAAGCCGTGCTTTAGCGTGATGGGGAGGGAGAAGTGAAATGACTCACAGTACTGCCACTAACACTGCTGTCGATGATTATGATAATTCGTGCGCAGCACTCCACAAGCAGCTTTGTGGAGCGGCATTAATCATCCCAGATTCACTCTCTGACTCGCTACTCTCCCATTTCCAATCATCCTCTTTGTCTCCCTGTCCAACACACCTCTCTGTCTCCCTGTCTTCATCCGCCCCGTCCCCTCTGCTCTCCCTGTCTTGGCTAATCACACACAGGCGGGAAGCTGCTGTTGAATTTTAATATTCATTTATATGGCCAGCCTTTGATGCCCCCTCCCCATCATCCCCACAGTGCGGTGTAAGCACTTCTCTATCTCGTTCTCTGCCAGCGCTGCCAGCCCAGAATATCTCCCTCAGCACCCTGTGCTCTGAGTTTGTGTAGTGACTGTAGATATTACCCTCCAAGGAAGCCACAACAATGCAGCAATACAAGAGGAAACAAAGTATAATGGGTGGTTAGATGAAGAGATGGTCAGGACATCATTTTTTTTTATTACAGTCCATAATAATTGCCATGAAAAGGTCAGTTAGGAATTAATGCATCCAACTAAAAATAAGAAATGTTTAAACAGGCAAACATCTATAGATGTTTAATACCAGTATGTGATGTCATACAGTGCCTTGTTAAAGTTTTTAAACCAGCTGTTTCTAAACTTTGCCATATCACAGTATGACCACTGCAGAGTTTTTCACTGGCATTTCAGATCATAGACTTAAATAAAATAGGTGCATATATGATTTAGTTTTGAAAATCTGAGAAGTGTGGTTTGCATTTGGATTCCGCCCCCCTTTTTACTTTATACTGAATTATTTAGGTGTCTCTACCAGCTATTTATTTATTTCTATTGGCAAAATAGCTGTGCTGTAGCCAGACTGGATAAAGAGGGAACAAAAGTGTTACAGTTCACCACAGACTCTGAGCTTAAGTTTCGGACATGAATTGTGGTTTTTTTGGACCTGAAGGAAAACTTGAGGTTGCAGGACACTGATCATTCGGAGTCTAACACTCTTGATCTTGCATTGTAGCCCTGGCCTAATGACGTTGTAGTCCTGCTGGAAGGTCAACCTCCAACCCTGTCTGTTTCATCCTACAACAGGTTTTCCTATAGGATTGCTACTAAAGAAAAACCTTTGCACATCCTGCACATCGTTTCTAACACTACCATGTTTCACTTAAAGAGATGTGCAGTCGTAGCTTACCTAACATTTTGCACATAAGCCCAGAGGTGTCAAACTCATTTTCATATCATGTCACTTCAGCATTCTCTAGTCCCTATGCAGCTGTATAAATGAAACATTTGATTTAAAAATTAAATTTACTAAGAAAAAACTGCTCTTGTATTGAAATCTTACTTTTAAAGTTAAAGAACATTTGAATCTCTTTTATGATATATTCTGTCACTGATTACTGAGGCTATCTTGGTACTGCCCAAAGGTCTTGGTTGTGCTACATTTTATTTAGAGATATCACAATAAATGCATGGCACACTTTTCAGATTTTTCTTTATAAAAAAAAAACATTTTTTTGTCTCTTTCATTCCGTGCAACAATTATACAATGATTTGGGTTATTTAAAATCCCTTTAAAATGTATTTTGTGTTTGCAGATTGCGGTAATGTTCAAGAGGTGTAAACAGTTTAGCAGGGCACTGTAATTTATACTTGTTTATGCATGATGTGTATGAGTCCATGTAGAAACTGCAGCTCCATGGGGTGTGTCTACTGTAGTTAACATTGGCCGACAGTCTATATTTAGACTGACACCCTCTATGTTCCCGTGTGCGACCCTCACTTAGAGCTGCAGGCATTCCCATATCTGAGCACAGAGACGGCGCTGCCTCACATAGAGAGACACAGACAGACAGCAATAGTCTCTGCTGCCTTTACAGTGCAGGTTCTCTAAAAGCAAAAGCATGAGAAAGAGTATGAGGCCAGGGTGGGATTCAGAAGTTAACCTAGTTTGAGTTTGGACCCAAGCAATGAGAACAGGGAACGCTTTCTGAAGTGTAACAATGGAGGAGGGCGAGTTGGTGATCAGCCTCCCAGGGCGATCCAATTCCCCCTTAGGCAGCAGGGGTTCTGGTGCCGGAGGTGGGTTCGGCGAGACGCTGGTGCTGAAGCACAAAGAGGTTCACCACTTCTTCTTTGTCCCCTTCAGGGAGCAGCCCATCTACAGTACGAGGGCCCACGTCTTCCAGATCGACCCCAACACCAAGAAGAACTGGCTGCCCGCAAGCAAGCACGCCGTCACTGTGTCCTACTTCTATGACAGCACGCGTAATGTCTACCGGATCATCAGCCTGGACGGAACCAAGGTGGGCCAACACACCTCAGAGCATTACCAGATACTGTTACTGTAAAAACATGTAGCCTACTCCTGGGTTGATGTCTGGTGTAAACTTCTCACCAGATGCATTTTATTGACTCTGCAATAAACACGAATGCTTAGACACATCATAAACAAGATCTGATTTGCAGGAAGTTCCAGAACCAGCAGGTTCATAGTGGGGTTAATTTCACCTCTGTTTGTCTGGACTTTAAATCATCTGATTAATGGAATTGAGGACCTCGTTCCTGAGCAGGATGTAATTGAGATAGCTGAGTTTTACTGGAGGAAAATGAAGAAGAGGATGAAGAAATCCCCATGTAGCCAGGTGGACTGCTTTGTCATAACATTTGATTAGGTCATTTCAAACCAGTGACCAAAAAAGGGCCCTGTTTTTATTTTTATTTTTCTTAACACATAAAGGCACTTTGTGTGTAAATTCGAGCAGATTTTTAGGGTTTGTCTCAATGTTGCATTTTCTTAATTTGTTTTATTTCCAATGATCCTTTGAGACATTTTCCAAAGTTTAATTTGTTTTTCAATTCTGTTGTATTGTTTCCTCCATCTCTGCCTCACATGATTTTGTTTTCTCTGATTTTGTAGCTGTGTTTGGACACTAAAGCTTAACTAGTATTACATGTCAGTGAGAGAATATTGGATCTTGAGCCGTGTGAAAAACACCTTCGTTCGCTGCTATCTGATTCAAACCTCTTTCTTGATGCCAACAGGAATGCCAACTATTACACAACGCTGCCAGTAAGCCAGACAATGCTGGTTTTTATTGGTACTATTCTGTTAAGGCAGGATAATTATCTTAGAAGTAGATGTAATCCACATTTTCTGGATCAAACTGAGGGGGGAAAGCTGAAAATAGGCTTTATGTTTCTGGGTAAACTAAATAAAACTTCAGTTTGATGGATCTTGTTTCTGTTGAATAAAAAAATCATTACAAGTCATTAAGGATTTATCCTTTTGATCATTATCCTTATTAATTTTTTTTCTTTAATTTCTACTATTTTTTGTCAGTTTCTTTGTAAATTGAACTTGATCGCTTAATAAATGAATAATTGTAAAAAAAAAAAAAAAAATTTAAAAAAAGGGCTTTTATATGGAATGTTTACAGGAAAAGATGTCTGTAAAATTAAAATGATAAAATAGATTTATGCACTGAATAATATGTTGCATCATTCAGTCTGGGTTTGATATATATCAGCGTTTTTATTCATACCTGATCTTTTAAATTCCCCTTTTAAAACACGCTATACTGGACACATAACAAGCCACTAGTGGACATGCAAAGCACTTTGTTTTTTTACAGAATAATTATCTGATGTTAAAATGTTTTCTCATTTTTTTGACTCTGTCAAACATTATTTGTGCCATTAGTGGCTTCAAGCTGGAAATACTTCCTCTCTCAAATCATCAGCTTAAAAAATGACAGAAAATTATAGGCTGTCTATCACGGCTGCCATATTGAAAGGCTTTATTTAGCAGCAACTTTTATCTTCTAAATTTATGGTGTTGCTTAAAAACAGTCAAATTGCTATTCAAAGATGAGAGATATTCTGATGCCCACCATCTAAGCTTTAACATTTTATAGCCTAGAAACAAAAAATAATGGCTGAAAAGAAATCTTACAATCTAATGCTTGAAACAAAACTGTTTTGTTTTGACATATTTTAAACAACAATCAGTGTTATAAATAGTGGTTATAAATTACCTTAGAAAAAAATAAAAGTTTAATTTTTAAAATGAAACAAAACATTTTTGTCCCTTTACTTGACATTTCTAACAAAAATTCAGATATTTGTGATTCATACATGAGACTTTCAACGTCATGAGCTTATCAAAACCAGTCAGTTTCAGTTTATTTATTGCATTTTGCATTTTTACAAAGAATGCATAAAAGCTTTTAAGCAACACAACTCTTATGGGTTTAGAAGAAAAAACTAACTTTCCTTAAGAGCAAAGCTCCATAAATACTTGTATCAAACTATTCCTTTGGGGTGGTAGGGTGAAGCTTTAACGCCTGTGTGTTTTTACCTGTTGGCAAACTCTGATTGTGCTCATAAATCTATCGAACGGCAGTATATTTAAAACATTTAATGTGATGCAGGCTTTTCATTGCAGGCAATAATCAACAGCACCATCAGTCCGAACATGACGTTCACAAAGACGTCACAGAAGTTTGGCCAGTGGGCGGACAGTCGGGCAAACACTGTCTATGGACTGGGCTTCTCTACCGAGCATCATCTGTCCAAGGTACCACTGTTGAAAAACACATTTTGTTCACCTGTTATTTTAGTCCTTCTTTTTGCTGTTGTTGCACTTTTATGTTACACTCTGTAGAGGCAGTTTTCTGTATGCATCTGAGTTTATAGAAGATTTTGAAACACCATCAGCCAGCAGTATGCTTAAGGTTATCACAGGTGTTTCCTGCAAACTATATAATATACTTACAATCAATGGTATGAATATCAGCTGAGATGGTCCTTTCTACTGCTTGTAGTGTTATTAACTCATGGAGAAACATGTTGGAGGAAGCACCATGCTGCAAAAATGCTCTTCCTATGATTAAAAGTTAAGGGAACTGCTTATTGGCAAAGATACCAGTGAGAGAAAACAAATCTGGAAATAGCATCAAGACTCTAACTATGTTTAATATAAGGCTTATAGAAAAGAATTAGTTGGTAAATGCTTATGTTATTAAATGTGAATAACTCTGTTTGAGCAAGTCGAGATTAGTTAATCCTGAAGGTTAAAGCTTAAGTCCAAGATGACCCAAGACTAAAGTGAATATACCATCTTAAAAGTATTTCAATCTCTAAAAGGTCATAAGCGTTTATGCAAAAGAAATGTTATAAAGCAATATATTTTTATTGTGTTTAGATTAGCTGGTTAATTCTACAAGAGCAGATCGTTATTTAACGAGAAATAGGCTGCGTCCGAATGTCCGCCCTAATCGCTATATAGGGCACTATATAGAGATGATGCATTTTAAATGGGCGTCCGAACATCTAGTGGCTGAAAAAGTAGTGGACCTCGGAATTTCCCACAATGCACCTTGAAAGGTAGTGATCATCAATGGTCACTCGACGAGTAGATATGTACCGGAATGTTTTGTGAGAGCTCTCCTCGCTATGCATCATGGGATTTGTTTTCACAGAGGCCCGCTGTTGCTAACGGACTATGGTTCACTATAAAGTCCACTATAGAGTCCCCACTCTATATAGTTATTGAGATATTTAGGGGTTAGGGTGGACTACCGACACAGCAATAAAGTTTGGAGGCAGGGTGCCAGCAATGACCTCCCCATGGGAAAAAAATAAACTGAAAATGTGAATGTAACTTTCCTTATTCAAAGTAAGTGAACATGATTAAACTTTAAATGTCATTTCTATCATGATAATTTTTTCTTTTTTATAAATATACTTTAAATCAGTGAAACTCTGACTGGAATTGCTTATATGTTCCATTTTTGGTATCTGTTTCACTCAGGAGGAAAAGTGAGGGAGCGCTCTCATAGACAGAAATATTAGAAAATGAATTTTTAAATTAACCCTGATAGAATCAATATTTATGTAATTAAAAATCAAACATAAAATTGAAAATGAATTCCTTTGTTTTAAAAGTCAGTGTTATCATATTGAGTCTATTTTCATTTTAGTTTGATAATTCTGTTTCTCTGTGTCAACAAACCTGGTCATTTAGCCACACAGTAATGAAACCCAATTCACGAATTGATAGTTAATGTTAGGTTTAATTTACTTTATGGCATTTTAAGCAGCAGCAGGGTAGCATACATGAGCTCACTAGATATCATAACCATGTCAAATGATCAGTTATAAGAAATGTCATGTAAAAGAAAAAGAAAGAGATGTGGTTGTACTAACTGTCCAGCTACAGTAGCTAAAAACGCAGTGTTCTGCTGGCGTTACGTCGCTCCGTGTTTCTCCATTATACGCTTTCCATGGTGAATGGATGAACATCTACCATGCTTATTTACCCTGCAGTGTTTCAGCTCAAAATCTGGTTAAAAAAATCATTTTAACTTAATGTCACATGTCAGTCTGAGTTTTCTAACTAAAGTTAACTAAAATATGAGGTTTTAAAACCAGTAAATTCAGTTTCAGTTTACTTAAATACATTTTGAATTTTTTGAAGTTTCCACCCATACACTCTTTCCTGTCCTTGATTCTGGCTGTTTATCAGCTGCAGTTTAATTAAACAATAAATATGTTATATGGCCTAAATGGTCACTGAAATATAAATTATGTGAAACTTTTAATAATAAAGCTATTTTAAGATAGTGGATCTTCCCTTTGGTCTTTAGCTTAAACCAGTGCCAACTAATCTGGATTTGTATTAAACATAGACATGATGGTTTTCTACAGTAGTTATAAGTTTAACACCTTCTTTAAACAAAAAATTTATTGATAAAAGAGAACCCCAATACTTATTTATCAGGTTATTCATTAGTTTTATTACTGTGCATGTGTTTATGTATTTTAACTTTTCCTTTGCAGAGCTTTCCAAAGCAAAAAATGAATTGTCAATTTGGAAATTGTCAAAAGTCAATTGTTCTTAAAATAAGTAAATTTTTTCTTGAATTGAGCAGGTACCTGAGATGCTTGGCCAATGGAATGAGACAGTTTACATTTAAAATAAGAAATAAAAACAACTGTAGAAGTGCATAATATCTAATTATCTTAAAGGTAAAAATACTCAGAAACAGATCCTCTTTTTGTCTGCACAAATTAAAGATAAATACTTTTATTTTAACAATTATTGTGCAGTGTGAGATCTGTTTTTACAAATGCAAAGTGCTTTATATATAAAATGCATTATTATTATTATTTTAACAAAACTCGGTTTAAACTAGATATTGAACTACACCCTTAAATATTTTTTCTTTGATTTTTATTTTATGTTATTTTAATAAAGGACTTGGAAATAACTGAAGATGCCATACATAGCAGGTTCCTGCTTGCTGTCCTGAGCTCAGAAGAAACTGTTATGTAATTATTGAGTGCAGAGAAAACCATCTTCAAAAAGAAAGCTATTAAATCTCAATGTGACCTTGTAAATAAATGATGTGTTCTCAGGTGTTTTTTATTATCTGTTATATTACGATAAAAATAACTTACTTTTTTCGTTCTTAAAGTGAAATTGTAAGCATAGTTACACACATCAAAGAAAAGTAGAAAATAAATGTCTTTAATCTGTGAACTTGTCCGGATACTGACAAAAGTAATCAATACAGAATTACCTGGAATTTGTCTGAGAGGGTCAGTAGGCAGGCTGGCAGCCTGTTAGAAAGCATTTACTCTGAATCAAAGTTTTAAGAAGCAGCTTTAGTTCTCAGATGTCTGCAGAAAAACGCCTCAGAAGCACTTAGATCTGCATTTAGATCATGTAGAACAACTCTTATGTTGCATCGAAGTGAAATGATATCAGGTTTTTCTTTTTGTAACTGGGCTAATGGCCGACGCAGGAACGGCTTCAGTGGAGTCTTCAATTTGATTTTCTTCTCACCACCAGAGGTGTCAAGTAACAAAGTACAAATACTTCATTACCTTACTTAAGTAGAAATTTTGGCTATTTATACTTTACTGGAGTAATTGTTTTTTAGACCACTTTTTACTTCTATTCCTTACTTTTTCTTTGTTATGGCCTGTTGGTAATAAAAAAAAAAAAAACAAAACAAAAAAAAAAACATGAAAATAATTGATTTCATCCAGACGATACATTTCTTTGTGGTTGGAATATGTTCTGTACCAACTTGTTGTTCACCACATACCAAAATAAATACTTGTAAACAGTAAATAGTCAAGGTGATGCAAAGTTAAATTTAGCACTGTTACCATTAGTTAGAAAAATAAGAAAATGAAGTATAAGGAAGTTATCATCCAGAATTGTAGAAAAGTGTTCCTTTAATAGGGGAGTGCAGTTACCATAAGGTTTAAGGTATCCGTCCTTAACACCTTTTCCTGCTTTACTTTTGCTTTTTTATTTCAAGAACTTTAAAAATTTTACTTTTACACTTTTACATGAGTTAAAAACTAAAGTTGATACTCTAACTTCCACAAAAGTGATTTATACTTCTACTTGAGTAATAAACATGAATGCTTTTGACACCTCTGCTCAGCACCCAACTTGCTGGTCTAATGTGTACTTAATCACTGTGGAAGCAGTGTGAGATTAAACTTTTTGTCTTTTTGCACAGTGTGTTTTTTGGGTGTTTTGGGGGTAGCAAGCCACCTAACTGAGGTCAGGTCTTTGGGTCAGGTGGTGTGTGAAGACAAATAAAACCCCTGAGAGATCAACATTAATCAGCCTACTGCATAAAATCTCAAAGGCAGACTAAGGGATCACTGCAGGAATAATGGATGGCTGTGGATATTGGTTCAGCTTTGATTATTACTGGAAGCAGCTTTTCCGTATCCTCTAAATCTGACCTATTAGATGCCGCTGACCCCCCCTCTTCCTATGCACAGCTTTACTGATCAGATTAAACCAGAGTGCAGGTTTTATAGCCCACTCTAATGGCTGTCTGGTTTGTTTAGTTTGCAGAGAAGTTTGCAGAGTACAAAGAAGCAGCACGGCTTGCTAAGGAGAAGAGCCAGGAGAAGATGGAGATGGCCACGTCTCCTTCTCAAGTAAGTTCGGCACATGCTATTCACCAGGCACCCTCCCAGCTCATTTCAGCCAATGTAAATAATGCTTGATGGATAATTCAGACGGGTGAACTCGGAAACCAAGACTTCTGAAATAAACTATTGTACAAAGTATTGGTTAAAAAAAAGGCTTACTCAATTTAGATAAAAGCAATAATATTGTTTCTAAAACACAATTCAGCTACAAGCCCTGCTCTTCACAGCTGTTTGTACTGTGTCTTGAAAAGTCTGGAATTTGATTTGATAATTTTCCATTTTCTGGATACTGTAAGTTTAGAAACCTTAAAAATGCACATTGTAAATTTGAATCAACATACTCTTAATTCCTTCATTTAAAAGAGGAAGATCTGAATTTCTGAAAATCTGCATGTTTCATGTTTGGTTTCTTTTTTAGGTGGTTTCCCCTCTTTTTTTTTTTCTTCTTTGGGTTCAAACATCATATCTTACATTTTTTTACCAGTTTATACTTTCTCAAAGCCAATAAAAACTGCCTGATCACTAATTTTTCTACCTTCTAGATGTTTTTACTTTCTTTAGTTAACCCTAGACCTGGATTTAGATTCAACATAAGACATTTCTATTTTGGAAATTAAATAATCCTTTTCTATAGAGCAGAGCTTGAAGTTAGCCAGTTTGTTGTTTTCTCCCAAATGGGGGAATACTTCACACTCAAAAGGCTCTAATCAAACAAAATCCTATGGAATAAAATTCCAGTAAACACATCAAAGAAACAACATTTTAAAGTAAACTAGAGCTCCCTTTAATAATTATAGTTGGGAATGTAACCTGTGTTTATTTTGTCTCAGACGTAGAAGATGGCTTTGGCTTAGCTTGTTTAATTCACTAATAAAACATATTAGGGTTTTAACTTGTGTTGGTAAGTTGGTGGTATGAGGTGATAACTTATTTCTCTCCACATTTCTTATTCGAACAGTTTGAAAAACATTTACCTCTGTTAAACTCATTAAAGTTATGCGGTACAATGTGTGCTACTGGTTTAAACATCCATCATTGTTTTTGCTCTATGTGCTCAGAGACCCTATTGGAGAATTAACCCGGGGTCACCTTTAACTTTAGGGGCCATTCTTGTTTTATTTCCTTCTGCAAACCCAGAAAGTCAAGCATTTGATTGTGAATCGGAGCACTTTTAAGTTTTTCTGGAGGGGAAATTGAATCCACTACTGCATTAAGTATGAAGGATAAATAGTTACCTTTTTTGTCTTATTTTGAAATGATAATTTCTTATGCAGGTTTTTCACAATGAAAGCAGAAATATGATGTCAAGCCTTCCCGAAAAGATGAAAAGATAACATTTTAAGTATAAATCTGCATAGCTTATGAAAATATATTAAATGAGGAAGTAGTTTATACTTAATTCAATAAGTTCATCATTTACTTTAGATTTTATTATACAACAGTTATTGATCACCTCTCTGCATAATAACCTAAAGCTTTAAAAGCAATGCTGGGGATTAAGTCTACTTACACTGAAGAACAGACTACTTTATATAAGACGTTAGTCTATGTAGGAAGTACAGCAACAACACACTTAAGGGGATGTTCAGCCGTGTATGTAAGAGAAAATTAACTTGTTTCAGGACGAGGGAATCCCCAGAGAAATCTGAGGTTTAATCTAAAGGCCATTACCCGGCTTCATATCCTCATCTCTTCAATATGGAGCCAGGGTTGAAAGTCCCACGCTGTGGTGCAGTCTCTGCTCCCCGCATGTCTTTTAATGAGGCAAAGAGGACAGCTTCGCTCTCACCAGGAACTGAGAGCTGCATGTGCCACACGACACGGCAGTGTTGAAAGTCAGAGACAGGCCATAACTGTGAAGCCTGCAGAACTGCTGATCCAAGCCTGCAGAGGTCTGTTTAAGCTTCTCCATCATAGGGAGTCAGAGCTTCACCCACGGGCCAGCTGGCATTCCCATCATCTTCTTTTCTCCTCTCTGAATCAACTTAAAGCTAACAGAGACATTATTCCAATAAAACAAGAGGAGACTCTGACCCAAACCCATGCTGGCCACAACAGGCTCAGCCCCAGTGGAAACACATCATAAACCCATATTTTATTAAATGTTAATGAACTTGGAGCGCAGAATGTAAAACCCGCCATAATCTGCCTCTTATCTCTCTCTGCCTTCTTGGCCATCAGAGGCGTTTGGTTCTGTGTCATTGTGTTGCTGTATTGAGCTCCAGCCCAGAGACCTAATGGCTTTGTTTTATGTGAGTGCAGCAACTAAATGATTTGTCTCTCATATAAGTCTGTGCTTGTATGGGATATAAAGATAAGAATTAATCTGTACTTCTATAATTTCCCCGCGCTAAAGCAAGCTAGTATAATCACCCATGGGAATGAGGAATTGTTCAATAAGATGGGCAACATTTGTTGCACCAAATTTGTTGGAGCTTAAATGACTTTCTCAACGGCAACCCATCCAGTTCTGCCTTTTAACATCTTTGCTTACAGGTTTCCTATAGTGGTTGCTTCCAGTTAAGAGCAGGAATACATCAAGGTCAGTTTTAGATTGAAGCGAAAGGTCATGTTGCAATTGTGTCAGTGCAGTGAATCAGTTAAATGGTTACTATAAATGATGACAGCTTTACTGGATTCCTAGTGATGAGATATTAGTGCATTTAAATACTCTCCTTTTTAAAATTTTAATGATTATACAATATATACATTTAACTGATTTGGGTCGGAAGAATTTGGTGCTGAATGGGTGAAATACTCATGTTTGGATAAATGTCTATTATCAAGCTGCAAAGCAACCAAAAAAGAGCCTTCGACCAGATGCTAGATATTAGTTGTCGGTTTAAATTGAGTGGTTCCCTGGTTGCTTTGCTTCCCTAATCCTGAAACCAGTACCAACTGTTGACATCAGTGGGCTGTTAGAGCACCTATTAGTGTCACAGTTTGAATCTGACTGTTAATTTGTGATCAAGCAGAAGCTAATCCCAGCTATTTAGTTATCTCTGCTTTTTTAGTGGAGCATAAAAGATTCAGTTTCAGAGCTGGAACTTCTTTCTTACTCTATATCTTCTAAGTTTAAGACGAACTATAGCTTGCTGTTGTGGAAACTCACAATGGTATCTAGTAGCTTTTTTAAACACCCTTTTTTATAAGCTTTCAAGGTTAATTGGTTGTCCTTTAACATCCTAACCAATTAGGACAATTTGTGTCACATGGTTAATGAATAAAACATGCTGTTTCGTAATTTAATCGTAGATATCTGAAATGTGTATTTCAGATAGTCAGTAATTAATTCTAGATATCTTAAATTGACGTCTCCATACAAGTTAATGGTAAATCTGACGTCATTTTGACTTGTCAGAATGTAATTAGAGATATATCCCAAATAGGTATTTTGACTAGTCAAAATATAATTAGACATATCTTAAATCTCTAAAACGTCTAGTCATAAAACAATTTGAGATATCTTGAATGTAAAGGCGTTACAACCGAATTTATGTTAAAACGGCTTGCCACAACTGTTTCAACACCATTATACTCATTTACACAATGTATATCTGATTTTATATTTATTATTTCAAATTAGCATAAATGACTCATTCAAAGTTATCTAATTATTGTGTAAATTCATTAATGTTTTTTTGTTTCCCCATTCTATGATTATTTTTTTATTTTATTTTTGCTTTAGTTAGTTGGTCTTCTTTGAAACGAGTTAATCAGTTGGAAGGATAATATTCAATTCAGTACTTAATTTTTAGCTGTCTTAAAAAAACATTTCCTTAAAGCTAAAGGGTAATTTCTAAAAAATAGAAATTTTGTCCTTAAGATGCATTGTTGCCTAAATATGACAATATAAATGACGGGTTTTCTTGTTTTAACAAATTATTTCTTAGCACAAAGATGAAATCATGCAGTTATCGTTGCTGTCTTCATAGATTCATGCCGATAGTAATGTAAAACGTTCTCTTACCTGCAGGAGTCTCCGGCGGGTGAGCTGTCCTCCCCTCTGACCCCTTTGACTCCCCCCATGGAAAACATCAACGGCACGGATGAGATCTGTGACACCACCCCCAACTCAGAGAGCCGTCCGGAGCCAGCGCAGAGCGCTCTAGCTTTTGCACACAGGTATATCCCACATTGTTCACCGCCAAACGATTAACCCAGGATCACTTTAATTACTTCACCCAAGCAATGATGGATGTGAGTTTTTGCCTGCTTGTCTGTCATCTGCGGTACAGATGTGCAAGCTACTCTTCCCTCTCTGTCTCTCTTTGTGTCTGCGTTCACCTTTATATCCGTTCCTTGTGGGCACAGAAGAGTGAACTCCCTTTATTCACCGCTGCTTTCTCGTGTTTTTCCTCTTTAGGGAGCAGCTTAAGACTTGTCGGGTCTGCTCTTTCTGATAGTCCTGACTGCTGCGACACCGTGACTTCTCTAAACAAAAAAACACAACATTTTTAGATGTAATGTTTGGTTAAAATAAGAGCCTGGCTCCAGGTTTGCAGATGGGTGGGGGTTGTTTTTAAAAATGTGATGCACTGAATATTTACTAATTAGAAGGAATAATAAAATACTGAACATCCTGTGAGAAGCGATTGGAAAAAAAACTTTTTTTTTACTGGAATTAAAGCATTTAAAGTCTGTTCAATTGTTCAAACCAGCAAGACATGTAACATAGATTGTTACTCAGGACTGATGAACCAGTATCCACTTTTTTTTCTTTTCCACACTGAGCATGCTCTGTAGGAACCCTCATACATATTTCTAGTTTCAGAGGGTTGTAAATGTAGTATGTGCCCTTGAACCTGTTTCATATTTTATCTAGTTACAACAACAGGCTTCAATGTGTTTTATGAAGACTTTTTGTAGCAAACCATCACAATGTCAAGTGGAAGGAAAATTAGGTATGGTTTTTAAAGTTTTTCTGAATAAAAATGTCAAAAGTGTGGTGTGCAGTTTGTATTCCAGAACATTTAAAAAAACATTTGCTGCAATTGGACTATCTGCAGCTTAGAACATGTAGGGACTGAGATTTTCACCCATTTTATTTTGACAACAGGTTACCTAACTTCTTTAAGTCTTGCTGCCAATTATAAATTGTAGTTAGTCTTGCATGTTGAATTCTTTATCTAAACTGTTCCTTTATAGCTCTGGATGTATGTTTGGTGTTCCCATCCTGCTGGACTCTGCTTTAGTGTGCATTACTTTAAGCTCTAAATAAGTTGCAGCACTGCCCTGTTCAGTCACATCCATCTTTGCATTAACCTTAATTAGCTCCGTGTCCCTGCTGAAGTATCCTACAGTATAATAACAGGCATTTAGAGTGATGTGTTGTTGGTTTTCCACTAAACTTACCTTTTTCTTGTTAGCAAAAGGTTCAGATTTGGACTCATCTGACCAATGCACCGTTTTTTCAGATGTTCACTGTGTCGCTTACTTGACTTGTTACAAAAAAACAAACAAGAACTTTTTACACTCTTCTTACAACAACTTCTACCTTCTGGCAAACTTTCTTTTCGAAAGCCAGATTTGTGAATTGCAGAACTGAATGTGTTCCAATGAACAGCATCTCTGCAGCTCCTCCAGAGTTACAATAGGCCATCCTGTGCTCCCCTTATCAGGTCTCTTAGTTTAGTTGGATGACCGTTTATTGAAAAGTTTTGTAATCCTATGAAATAATTAATGCAGTGTCCTAATAAGGTGATCTCTGAAGAAAAATGTTGGCAGTTGAACTTTTTCAGGGGTATCTTATTGATTGTGCCAGCTGAAAACATTTGCATATAAAGGTTTTCAAGCTTTTAGTAGAAATAAGTTGTCAAATTTCCACTTCACATTTATGTGCCCGTCTTTTGTTGGTCTATAGCATTGATAATATTGATTCTAATGTGACAAACTGTGACAAAATGTCAAGGCGTAAGGCTGTGCATGCATATATGTATGCCTACTGCAGTGCAATAAAATAAAATGCAAATATTTTTTATCCGAGTGGGTGTTGGTGGGACACCTATGCATGCACAGTTACTGCTGTACACATTCCTCTTTGTGTCCTCTTAACAAACCGAAATCTAAAATGTGATTATTTTTTTTTTTCTTTTTTGGAAGAAAAAAAACAACAAAAACCTTCGCTGATGTGTCCCTGTCTCTGTAAGACATCACAGACTTTGTTGTGTAAAATGGCTCCAAAAGGTACGGCTGTGAGGTTCGGCGCCAAAAATGTGTCGATGAATTGTTTATGTAAGAGTTATATAACATGATGTGGGTAGTGGGAGGAATGGAAAGAGCAACACACACACACACACATACCGTGTGTGTCAGAGAGGATCGTGCTTTGTATAAAGTCTGTACATGAGTCACCGATACCTAAATGTCCAGCATCAGCACACAGTGCATCGCTGAAGTAAATAAAGTGGAGAGAGACGGAAAGATAGAGAGAGAGGAGCTGAGTTTAAGTTTTTCAAAAGTGTAAAGTCTTCTTTTGTAGTGAAATGTACATGGGCTTTTCCCTTTGTGAAATATCTGTAACTTGTGCCACTTCTGTTGTTATCTGTAGCTGAGATTCCTTTTAATTAAAGATGTCAATTCTTGACTTAAAAGATGATTGTTCTGGTGTTTGAGTGAAGAAGTTTAGTGTGTTTTTAAATACAGCTCTGGTCAGAGGTTTACATACACTCCTTACGGGCATGAATATCATCAATTTAAGGTCCTAAATGATGCATTTGAACCATTTCCTTTTTTCACTATAGGAGGATTGTACATTAAATAATTTGTCGAAAAAGTTTGGATTTTATTTGTGGGATTTTATTTTAACTACACAAGGTCAAATTTGATCATAATGGTTTATATAAATAAACTCCTACTGGTGAATTCCCCTTTATTATCACTGATCAAGCTATATCCATAATGCTGGCTGGATGTGTGACCATTAATCTAGGCAGGAAAGCAGATTTGATCAAAATTGTTCAGTTTTCGGGAATAAGGAAGACTTTTTATCAAAGCCCAAACACTTTGAGTTTGATGGGTTTGGGCCTTTCCAGAAAAGTACCAACTCCAATACAAATTTTGATGGTTGTTTAAAATCATAGTGCTGCTGAAATATCCAGTTATGGTCAGGGTTAAGTCATCAACCTCTTTATTTTAGACTAAAATTAAGATTTGGCAACAATACTTCTTCAGCTCTCAGCATGATGCTGCCAACACTATGCTTTCCAAAACCTCACCTTCATTCATAAATACCTTAAACATAATTGTTATTGTTGCCAAATATCTCAGTTTTGTCTCAATAAAGTTTTTTTCTCCACAAGGAAAATGTTTTTGTTACATGGTCAGCGGCCTCTCAGTCCACATTGATATGAAACCCTCTACAGAGTAGATGATGACGATTGTGTTGTTTCCAGGTCTAGCCCTGTTGGTTTCTGGGGTTTTCCGTTAGATTTTAATCAATTTCTTGGTAGTTTGGATCAGATGGTTTAACCATATTCACAGCTTAGAGTTCCCAAAAACACTAATGCTAAACAATCTGAGCTGTGAAACTGATAAATCAAGAATGAGTGAGATATTAGAAGGGCATTCCCGGTAGACAAAACTCAACTCTGTTTAAGATGTGTGGATTATGTATATAGTTTGAATTTGAGGCAGAGAGCCAAAACATTGAAATTTACCAGCTCTAGAAAGATAAGTGGTCAAATATCCAGCCAGAACTGTGGTAGAAGCTTTTCAATGCCACAACAAATCCTGTGGTGTTCCTATAACTCGCTAAGGGACATGTTTTTACAGTATGAGGCTGTATGTATATATTTGAGCCTGTATGTATAACTGTGACCTTGTGGGAATGAAAGAAAAATGGCAAATTCTGGTTTTTGAAACTGATTGTAGTTGTTTGCTCTATCTCCTCTTACACTGTTGATAAGGAATGCTTTAAATGCATCATTAGAGTCCAAACAGCATGACACTCACACCCGCAGTGAGACTACGTAAAGCCCTGACTGTAACTGTAAGAAATCATCAACATTCAGAGATCAGATTTATGGGTATTGTTGAAGGAGTTAGGAGTACCCTACTATTACATGAGGCTGCACAGATCAGTGCAGTGAGAGAGAGGGATATGTGGAGAGGACACCCACTGCCTGCTGCAGCCTTGCTGCTGTTTCTATAAATGCTGCATGCGTGGGAGATGAGGTCGACTCTGCAAGTGTGCACGTAACGAGCGAACCTCACTCACATTTTCTCAAATATGTAGCTAAAGTGAATGTAAGAACTATCAAGACATACTGCTTTTTTATGTCTCTGACTCACATCGTCCCACATTCACCAGAACATGAAAAAGGTTCATCACGTGTGGTTCTAGTGTTCAAACATGTATGGATTGTGTTTTGAATGTATGCCTTTATATGGCAAAGATGCAGGTGTTTGCTGTATTAGTATCATTTTCTTGTGTGTGTGATCCGGACCTCTTGAGTAGTTTAAGCACATCTAGAGTTGGATTTTTGCCTGTCTCTGTAGGATGCACAGTGCACTGTGTGGGCAGGTATGTGTGGGCGTCTGGAAAAAGATGAGGAAAGAGTGGATGGAAGACGAGTTTCTTAAATCAGGATGTAGGCGTGTTTGGCAAATCTTCACTGGAGTAGTTTTGAATGGTTTTATTGATATCATAGGACCTTTGGTTTTCGGACTTCCTTGGTTGTATTTGAATGGTCCTCTTGTGTTGGAGGATGTAGGCGTCAGGCTGTGGGTTTGAGAGAAGGAGACCGCTGCGACGTCTCCTCCATTCCTCCGCTGCTGCCATGGCAACTGCTGTGTCTCGTTGTTTTTCCTTTTTTTTTTTTCTTTTTCTTGAATTGCTGTGTGGGGAGGGAAGACCTACCTGATTGCCAGCAGTTGTCAGGACACTTGGGAGCGCTACAGAATAGGCTACGCTTTTTTCTTCATCATTTCATTAGGAGTGAGAGGAATTACAACCTCTTAGATGTTTTTATGCAGTAAAACACAAAACAGAGGGTTAATTGTTTATTAAAAGCTTATGATATACTGGTAATATACGTACAAGCAGGCAAAAAATACATTCAGAAGTGAGAAAAGGCATAAAGCATAACTTTTTTGAAAAGTGAAATGTACATTTGAAGAAATAACAAATTGATACAGAAACTTTGAAAACATAAAGGCTATAAAATGGTTTTATTCATTTAAAAAGTTGTACAAAAGCAGAAAGACAAATAACATGCAACCTGTTTAACGGCAAGTTTTGCTATAGAGAAAAACTGACAATAACATTGATTGTCTCTCTAATAATAAATGGATCCATTTTCACTCAGTAAATCAATAGCATAGCAGCTTCCAACTTACCCACCATGTGTCTCAGTCTTCAGCCAGAACTGGTCTCAGGTGACCCCCCCAACCCACCCACCACCAGCCTAAAAACCTTTTCAGACTCTATTAAAGCATCTCAGCATCTTATCCTTCATCTCTGCTCCCTCCGTCTGTCTCCATCTCCACATCTTGACGTCTTGCCTGCTCTCTGCCTCTCCGAGCTGCTGTGTGAGGTTTATACATTGGCGGGAGCAGTGACAGCGCCGCAGCGTCCGTGTGAGCGAGCTGTAGTGCGTGTGTACGTACGGCTGAGTGTCAGTTTTGTATGTGCATGTGTAGGATGAGGTGTCGTCTCCCTGTATGCGTCACACATGCAGACACGCTTGCAGAGGGGGGTGGATGTTGCATAAGGACTGAAGGCGAGCTGTAGGAGTTCAGAGGGAATTATATCAGGGTTTTCTCCATCTTTCACACCTCGCAGAGTAAGTGTTGTGGCTCAAAGGAGGGCTGCTGCAGTGTGTGAGGATATACAGTGAGGGAGTGTGTGTGTGAGGGAAAGAATGGAGCGTAACTGAGATTATAGCCGCCTCCATCTGTCTTGGAGTCTGTTTTTTCTTTTCATACTACAGTCAGTCATGGATTACTTTAAAAACTTTGTGCTTTGTAGTTTCTCCTGGAAAGAGCAGTCATTTATGAGAAAATTTTACTCTGCCATTAAAATTCAAAATCTGCATTGATTTAAATACGTTTGGAAGAAATTGGACTAGTGTTATATTTAGGGCTGCAACTAATGATTATTTTGCACATCAATTTATCTCTTGATAATTTTTTCGGTTAATAATCCAATAGCAAAACGTTCCTTAAAGAACATTTTTACAAAATCACACCAGGTGAAACTAAAACTTTTCCTGAGTCCTGGATAGAGAATATTGACAGACAAAGACATTTTTATTATCTTAGATGGAAAAAAATGTACATAACTTTCTATAATCTTGGTATAATTACTGCTCAAAGTGGGCTGCTCTGTCAGCTATAGGCTTGTTTTAGAGTCTCTACACTCTAGTTAACGATTCATCAATTACTAAATTAGTTTACGATTATTTCAATAGTCGATCAGTCATGATTAATCTTAGCCATTGTTTCAACCCTAGTTATTTATTTTTGCTTTATGAGCAATAATCTTCAAGAGGAAAGTTTTTGCTGGTTTTAAAAATACACTCGTACTCTCTTCTTCCGCTTCATCGGGAACTGAATCATAGGTGCTTCATCCTCAGCATACTCCAGGAAGCTTTTTCAATTCAAAATGTCAGGAATAGCGTTGAGTTTGTGGTTTTATACAGTAGCCCAACAAAGTCCTGTTCGTCTGTCTATTCAGACAGTCTGACAATCCCCTTTAACGACCAACCTTTCAGACACTTAGATGGGTATGGGGTATTGCAGTCTAACAAAAGAGGCCAAAATGTTTTCAAAACAAAAACAAGGCTTTGTTCGGCTAGTGTATAAAACCTTGAACTCAAAGCTATTCCTGATATTCTGAATTGAAAAAGCTTCCTGGATGGGAAGAGAAATGTCTTCAAACTCGGAAACCAAGTCCAGTGCATTGTTTTTCATTTTTTTTGGAATCAAATAGATATTTTCTTGTAGTCCTTTCCTTACAGCACACCTTATGGTGGGTTTTCTTTAATTTCCTATTCTAAAAAATCTCTAAAGTCAAATTTTTCCAGCCTTGGAAAGAGGAAAGATGTAAACAACTAATGAGATAATAGTACTATTGAATTAAATTGCTGTAGTTAAAATTATTGTATTCACATGTGCCAGTAATAGTAAATTTCTATTAATTAATCAACTCTTTACCAGAGATTCTTCTCACTGCTACTGAATATACTTTAATGATGGACTTCTTTTCTGCTCAGTTGTTCTGGGTGAGATTATACCATAATATATAGAGATATGGATTCGGTTTGGACAGATCATTTGCATTATGTCAAATTATGTGAGATTCAGTCTTTTTGGTATACTTTGCTTTTTTCTACCTTTTGGCCTAGTTTTTATTTTGTACGGCAACATTTCTAATCATTTTGACCATGCAGCTGTTCATATATAATTCCTTTATAATCATCTGTATATTAAATAAAGTAACATGTGATGTTCTTCCCATGCCTACTAGACATATTACTGTAATACAATAAGCATTGAGATCAAATTTAACACTAGACTGCACCATACTGGGGTATTTAACTAGACGTACGTTATATTTACTTGCCTGAAATTATCATGATCAATGATCAGTTTGTCTATGAAAAGAAGGAGACTCCAAAACATCTAGCAAAATAACATCACACCACTCGTGAGGTCCAGGGGAAAATTTTGCATTTAGTTACCAAAAGTAACAAGTTACCAAAAGATTCATCCTATCTGACTTAAAGTTTGGTTTGTTAACAGCTTTAAAGTGCCTTTATGATCGGAATGCTGCTGCAAATAACTTTTGCCCACAAGAATTTTTTTATTAATGGACCTAAAGAATAGACTAAGCATATTGTGTCTATGGCTGTGCAGCCGTTTATCACCTGCAATGCTTTGCTTACATCCACAGGCTCCCAAATGTTGTCCATTTTAAAAACACACAAACTGTACATGTCTGTGTTCTTCAGCCCGGCCATGACAAAACACTGGGAGGCTGAGCTGGAGGCGCTGAAGGGGAACAACGCCAAGCTAACTGCGGCTCTGCTGGAATCCACGGCCAACGTCAAACAGTGGAAACAGCAACTGGCTGCCTATCAAGAGGAAGCAGAGAGACTACACAAACGGGTGAGCAAAGGGAGCGCAAGGAGAGCTTGTTTGTTTTCATGTGTGATTAAATCATTTCTGATCAAATGGGAGCACTCATTTGCAAGGGACGCTGTGAAGCGAGGATGAATGAAAGAAACAGATGAGTGGATGGGAGAGTAAATAAAAGGCAGACTGGGAGACAGGCTCAGATCAGGAGCTTTGTGACTAAATCAAGATATATGTCATGTTTCTGCAGGTGACAGAGCTTGAGTGCCAAAGCAACCAAACCCCAGTGATCAAATCCCAAAAGACTGAGCTCAACCAAACCATAGAGGAGCTAGAGAATGCGCTGCGGGATAAAGAAGAGGTTTGTTTGGAGAGTAAAGGAGGGAAATATCTAAAAAGAAAATTGGAAAATGACTAAAAGTTTCTTAAAACAATTGTATTTACCATTAATTTGAGCAGGAAAATAAAACAATCTGCCGATGGAATGAGCATATTTACCCTTGAAATAAGATAAGATAATATGAACTTGAAATAAGAGACTTCAGGTGTTTTATTCTTATTTTATATGTAAATTGTCTTATTCAACTGGCAAAGTGTCTCACTTACCTGCTCAATTTAAGAAAAATGCACTTAATTTAAGTAAAAAATTACTTAGATTTGCATTTTTTTGCAGTGGAAGTATTGCAGCGCTCGCCTTCTGTTACCTTATACAACCATAAAACTGTCTGTCATCCTTCAGGAAATGGAGAAGCTGAAAGAAGAACTGGAAAACATGAATGACCTGATGGAGCAGAAAGACACTCTGACTCAGAAGCTTGAGGTAAAGCTGTCGTTCTTCTACCTTTCAAAATAATTTCTAATGCTGAAATTTGTCAGCATTAGAAAGGGGGGGGTAATACTAGGCAGTTGCCTAGGGCCCCAAGTTCCTGGGGACCACATAAAACTCTGTTTACATGTATGGTGGATACAACTATTCCTTATTGGTGCACATTATGTTTTTGATAAAAAATCCTTTCACTAAAATGCCATCAGAACGCTTATATTATAATATTAAGTTTGTCTCATACAAAACATAGAGAGCAAAACAACAAGAAAATAGGACATGAAGAGAGGGACAAAACGTAGAACAAAAAAATGAATGTCTATCCTATTAAAATTTCTGTATCTATAATGTGTCTGTTTTAGGTGTTTTCCTCTCAATTCAGACGGCCCCCTACCTGTCTTTGCCTAGGGCCCCAAATTTCCTAAATCCACCCCTGGGCCTTAGGTCTGTCAGCGACTGACGATGCTCTGACTCTAGAGAGTTAATGAAGCATCTCTAGCACAGTGGAAGGACAATAATCTCTTCATGAATATGAACAAAACAAAATACATGTTTGAAGATTTCATGAGAAACAAACATCAATCATTATTACATCGTGGAAGAAGTGGCAGAGTATATCTACCTCTGTGTTTATCTGGATTGGACTTGAGGTGCAACAGTGAAGCCATTTGCAAGAGGGGGCAGAGCAGACTTTGGTCCTTCAGTGTTTGCAGCAAGATGTTGCATATGTCCTTTAACTCTGATTTTTAGAGTGTTGACTCTTCTGCTGGGGTAACAGCATCTGAGCAAATGACTTAAAGAAACCCAGCAAGCTGATAAAGAAGCGCTCTGTTCTCGGGAGCACCGTCTAAAGAAGAGTGCACTAAAGAGATGCCTTATACAAAAAACAGCATAGCCAGTCCTGACCCATCCCTAGTGTGAAATATGATGGGAGCAGCTTCATATTTAGGAATGGCTTTCTTCAGGTCAGATTCAGATAAAGTCTTAATAGGAAACCTGTTAGAGGCTTTGAATAGCTTGGGAAAGTGCAGAGACCCAGTCAGGGCCACGTTTGTCATGTCTTGGAATGGTCTTGAAAATTCATGCAGTTGTAATTTGAATTGCATGGTTTTACCAAGTATTACTCAGTGGAACTGAACCCTCTTAAACTGTAATTGAGTGTATTTAATGTTATCAGAATTAGGGTTTTATAAAAGTGAAAGCCATTTGTTTGAGTTTATATTTGTAACAAATAAGAAAAATCTTGCTCCATTTCCTTCCTCTTGTGTCTCATTTTGTGTTGGTCCATCACATATAATCTCAGTAACAAAATTTGCTGTGTGATTAAAAAACAAACACCCAGCTACCCCTGTTCCTATAGCATAAACACACTCATAACTTTGAGGCTCCCTCTACAGGAGACGGAGCTGCGCAGTCGGGTGCTGGAGGAGCAGCTAGCGGGAGCAGAGCAGCGACTGGAGGAGAACCAGGAAGAGCAGGAAAATTTCAGAAAGAGCCTGCGGACGCTGCTGGAACTTCTCGACGGCAAGATCTTTGAGCTGACGGAGCTCAGAGACACCTTGGCTCGTCTCATAGAGGAAGCCAGCTAGAGACAGAAGGTCTCACCCTCCGCAGACAGAGCCATATGATGATTTATTTACAGCCCCAGCACACAGACCAATCCCACCTTCCATACTTTTTCTTCTTGTGTACCCCTCACCTACATAAATCTGAGACACTGCACTGCCCCCACTTACAGTTTAAACACAAGGGGCAGTGGGTCCCTAATTTTTACCTTGAGGGCATCAGGTTTCTACCTACTGCAAGCACTCCTGTAGTTGAACACGATGCAGGGACTACCTCAGCTTGCTTTCTGATTGGCTGTTGTACCCTTGGTCAAACTGGTCAAGCTTATTTGTAGAGATGCCACACATTAAAACAAACACAAAAAAAACTGTGCCTCAGCGCCATCTGCTGTCTGAATGGGAGAACTGCACCATAGTGTGCAGCATTTACTCAACACACACATTGCACATTATTCCGCTCTAAACCGCCCATCCAGTGGCAAATGTTAAAAGTCATGTGGAAATAATTGCCGTTAAGACCTAAAGAACTGCGCCAAAGCTGCCAATTCCCCCCAAAATATTGTCCTCTAACAAGCAGATGCTTTGATCCAAAGTGACTTACTGTACAGAGAAGTTTTGAACAGAAGAACCCGCGTTTGAGCCCGGGCTGCCAGAGGAATGTAACTGGGTAACTGCTTTGGCATTGCTGCACATCCCCAGCCTGAATTCACAAGGATGCTGGGAAATGGAGTCTGATATCTATCTATTTTCTTTTAGTAGAAATGAAAGTGTGTCCCCTACGATATTACAGAATCCTATGACGGAAAAGCAATCAATCTTCCAGAAGGCAATTTTCATGCAACACTAAATTGTTTTGGTACTACATCTTAAATGAGACACGTGTATCCAGACAGCTTCCACCATCGCAGTAAACCTGACCTGTCTTCCTGCCATACTCAGTGTGGCGTGTGTGTCCTGAATGAGGCTTGACATGATGTGTGTTATCATTAAGGTGCATCTCAATAAATTATAATATCAGAGATATTAGTTTTTTTTCAGGATTACAAATACTAAAAAAAGACAAAATTCTTATTAATAACATTAATTACAGATTTAAATCTTTCCTCATGTCATTTTTGATGGCTTACAGAAAACACAACCCCAAAAAAATATTGGACTTAAGAAAATTTAAATACTACATAATACTAAGAAAATAATGAAGACAGAAATGTTGTGATTAAACACCCTGTAGCTTTCATATCCTGTCTCCCTTGTTTTGGTCTGAATTTAAAATACACCATCGACTCTCAGTTGGGTTTGCTGGCTAAATAAACTTAGTGATATTTTGGTTATTAAGCAAGACTGTAAAACCTGCATTATACTGTACGTCAAAATGTATTTTAAAACACAACGCCTTTGTATGAAAGTTTGACACATATTTAATTTCTTTGATGCTTACTTCCTGCAGAAGGCTATCTGTATCTTTAATGATCAAGATGCTTGAGCACAGGGCATGGATAGGAAATTTTATAACATAGAAAAATAAGATGTTAAGAACATTTAGGGTAAAACAAAACTAATAAAGTCTTTGCAATAATTATATTACAACTGAATCTATCATAGGGACATATTTCCAAAAGGAAAGCAAAAATATTTCATCCTAAAGATCGGCTTTGGACCACTGAGTAACAGTCCTGGCACTTTTATTTTGATAGCTCATTTAATATGCCTCTGATTTTGTCTCTGGTTTAGAAGTTGTTTAAAGCGTGGAGTGAGAGATTTAGCATATGTAGATATATCTGCTTGCCCTGACTTCAGTGGCAATCTATACTTTATAAATCTCTGTACTGCTGAAAAGCTGCTTTTAATCCTATTTTATCTAAGGTTGTGCTTATCTCAGTTTCTAATATTGTGTTGTTTTTGCAGGTTGAATTTTCTTAGCACGTCCTGATATGTATCTGATATGGCCTCCAAGCTGAAGATTTAAGGGAAAGTTTCCGCTTCCAGGTTTAACTTTAGTTCAGAATCCAACATGGCTACTAACTGATAGCAAATACAGTAGGTGAGATCTTCTGACCTATAGTGTCAAGCTTCAATTTGTAATACAATATGTGTTTTTTTTTTGTGTTTTTTTTATGTTTTCATTGCACTTAATTTTTCTTCAATGTATTTGGATTCAGTGCTTTAAATAGACAGCTTCCTTAGAAAAAAAAAATCTTTGGTGGCTTACACCTGCTGACACCTGGCTCTGTGACACCTAGTTTTTCTTATGATGCGGTAGGTTTAATCATATTTCTGCATTTAATTTTTTTTATTTACATGTTAAAAAAAAGCACAAAAAATGTAATTAACTGCAAACCATAATCATCAAAATTGAAAAAATCTGTGTAACAAATCTGAGTTTCAATATGTGATCAATCAAATTAAGTTATGATTTTGTGATATTTTAATTTATTGAGATGAATATGAACTTGGGCACATTTATGCTGGTAGAGAGGCCTACACACACCCTTATATACACACACACACACACACACACACACACACACACACTGAGCAATATAAGACAGGCTCTGTACAATCCCCCTGTCCATCTCTATCAGGTTCTCTACTCAGCGGACTCGTTGTCCTGAAAGATCAGATACATTTCAGCTGATACCCCGTTTCCAACAGAACGTGTACTAGTGACCGCATTACTGTGTGGCAGCCCTATGTGGTCCGAGTAGTGCAAACCGAAGGGCTTACAGAGCGTCATCCTCATGTCTGTAAATCTCCACCCTCAGTGAAACTGGCCACTGATTGTCACTCCTCACAGGTCAATATTAAGCCGTTCTCAGTTTCTTTTCTTTGTTTTTTTTAAGTGAAGATACAATACTGCTAAGATGAATATAAAACTGTACAACACAACTTTCTTATTCTTGCTGGCATTGTAAATGAATGGATGGACAAATCAAAATGCAGTAACACCCTGCAGTGGCTTATTGTTGTGTATTAACTGATGGGTGGAAGCTTTTTGCTGCACATTGGAGGATTTATAACACCATGTAATAATGCAGTGATACAAGTTTTATACTCTTACTGTATAAAAGCCAATGTAATGCCGGCAAAAACTTTAATTTTCTTCCTTCAAATTTCTACAGAGCTGTATCTTCACAAGGTGCTGCTGGTCTTATAACTAAGTGCCCTGTTTGCACTGTTATTACACTGCTGTAAATCCCATTATATGCCAACAGATTTGCATCTAGCATTAGCACAGTCAAATGATGTAGTTTAATGACCCTATGTAGTTAGTTACACAGGTTAATACACTGGAATAAGACTCATGTAAAAGAGGGAATGTTACTTATTTTCTGTCTGCTGTGTGTGTCGAGTGGAGTGACAGAGATGAAATACTTTACTATCAATGCTATTGTTAATGAATGCCTTTGTACAGTAGTGGATAAAATGCTTTTCATTCTCCTGTTTTTTGTAACTTATGGTATTTCAGTGTAGGTATCAACATTGTATTTACTGTAGAGGTATGAGAAGACTGGCAATATTTTTGACTATTTAAAGTAATTTTGAATTCCTGACATTAAAGAGGTTCCTCAGGCTTAAAAAGATTTCTTAGATTGGTGATATTTGGGTGTTTGCAGGTAAAACAGATCGAAAGACACAAATGTTGAATGAAAGCTGTTATGCGGTTGGTGTGGAGATAAATTAAAGGACTATTTTATTGTTTAATTTTATTGGAATCTGGACTTATCAATCAAAATTAAAATTGCTTTAAGTAATAAAATCCTAATTTTATTCTTGTTAACTGGATATATACTATTTAATACACAATTGTGAATAATAGGGAAAAGGATATGTTTGTACTTTTGGGTTCAATTCCCCTGACTCAATTCTTTGTAGAGTTCAGTACATTTCAGCTATTCTATATAACATAAATTCACAACTCATTAAGGCACTTTAAAGAGACAATCAAATCATTCAGACAGATTGGTTCACTGTTCTCGCTCTAAGGGAACCCAGCCGATGGCATCGAGTCGCTGACTTTGTACTTTTCCCTGTAGCAACAGAAGACATTCCCTTGCATTGTCTTTGACTACATCAATCCCTCAGAACAAGTATGCATGCATCGACTGTGGAGAGGAAAAACTCCCTTTTAAGAGTAAGAAACTTCCAGAAAAAACAGGCTCAGTGTGAATGGCCTTCAAGAAGACAGAAGTAGACACACAAACAATGTAGAAGTAATGAATGTAATCTGTTAGAGAAGGTAAGGGTAAGCTAGCTCTAGAAACAAAACTGTTAATCAAATGAGCACGAGGCAGTTTTAAAAGCCAAAGTCAAAAGGATGAAGAGAGTACAAGCCAATAATCACAGTTAAAACTGAGAGAAACAAGACTAAGCACTAAAAACAGGCCCAACTGCGTTTTCTATAATTAAAGTTTTAACAACCGCTTCTTGTTTCCACACAAGAGTCTAATGAGCTGCTCTTTTCCTGTCTAAAGCTCTGGAGAATTTCAATGGTGATGTCTTCTGGAAATCTTCAATAATTGGTCTTCCTCCCAGATGGTATCACATTTAAACAGAGCACCAGACCAGATGAGGCTACTCTAAAATGGAGAGAACATTAAGCTATAAATTCAACTAACAAATAATGCAAAATTTGAGAACAGCATCGTAGAATATACCAAAATAAGGCTTAGACTGTCCTCCAGCAGTCTAAGCCTATAGCAGCATAAATATTGAAATAGATATAGCTCAGGATAACCTGAGCCAGTTTAAGCTAGCTTTATCTAAAACAAAAGTTTTAAGCCTAGCCTTAAAAGAAGACAGTTTGTCTGCCCACAGACTAAAACTGCTAGTTGGGCCCACAGGGCAGGATCCCGATAACAAAAAAATCTGCCTCCTATTCAACTTTCTAATAATTCTAGGAACCACTAGTAAGACTGAAGACTGAGATAAAAGTGCTCTGTTGGAAACATAAATCAGATCTCTGATCACTGCAAAAAGAAAATCCTGCTCCAACTTAAACATATTGCTTCAACTGGTAAAAAGTAATTGAATCAAGTTGATCCAACTTAATCTATTAAGGTTATAAGCTGAAAACTTAATCCATTTACTTGTTACCAGTTGAAGCAATTAATTTAAGTTGAAACTGTGAATAGAGCTTAAAATCAAAGCTCCGTCTTAGATGGAGCTTCGATTTTAAACCCTATTCTGTGTTTAATAGGAGGCCAATAAAGGGAAGCCAAAATGAGAAGTACATGATCGCTTTTCAATTTTCATGAGAACTCCAGATCCATCTACTGCTGAAGTTACAGTTGTGAGTTTTCTAGGGGTTAGAATCTACTATCTTCTCACAATTAGAAAGTGAAGAAAATGTTTCTTGGTCTTTTACATTTAAAAACACAAGCTTAATCCCATTGGGTTGAGAGCATTTCAAGTCTTCTGAGAGATTCCCAAAGGGATATAGATCTGGACTTTGACTGGGCCACTCTAACCTAAAAATATACTTTGATCTAAATAAATACATCATTAATGAGAGGCCTACAGAGAACAAAATATTAATACACAAATTAAATTGCATGGACTGTATTTATCAGTTGACTGATTTTAATTAGTTGATTATGTTGAAAGCCAGGTAGCCTTTCCTTTCCCATTCAGAGTTAGGCTTTACTTTGGGTTGTTCTATCAGACAGCATCCAAAGGAAATACATCGAATGATGTGGCAGTAAAACATCAATATGAATAAGTTCAAGGGGCGTGACTATTTTAATGAGGTACAGTAAATGATTCAATGCCATCTCTGCTGCTTTAAATGATTTATTCCAATGCAGGGGTCGGCTTGTAAAATAATACAAAACAAGATGTGAAAATATGAAATTGACAAGTCAAAACAAGGCAAAAAAAAAGTACATTTGAAACACTCAATAAGGTCCAAAAACATCCTCAACGCTAAGTTCATTGTTTAAGACAATCAGCCTAATTATCAATCATACAGATTTATTCATCCCTTTTTACTTAAATTTCCATATTGTCATATTGCACATTTTCTGAAATGAATAAGTGGTATTAAGACAAAGAGCTGCATATGCAAAAAGTCCATCAGAAAAGTAATCACAAGAAAAGTTGGTTGTAAACAATGGAGAAAAGAATGACATAGCAAAAACTGCTGATAAAGAAGCTGCGCTAAAGTTAGTTACAGGTGGGAAACTTTCTCTAAAACTGAAATGGGGAAAAAAAAAAAAAAAAACTAGTAAACCTTGTGAGATTTAAGATAAGCTTAGGTTAATAAACTAAGGGTCAGGCATAAGAACTTTTGTCACATGCTACATGATAAGGGTGGAAGAACGTCTTATGACAGGTGAACAGATGTCGAACTCCTTCAGGTTGATTCACCAGGAAAAATAAAATAAGGAGTAGGGCTTTTTTCAGCTGCGTCATTAGTAACACATATCCGGTTATCTCCACTGACAGAAGAGAGACTAATGGATAAAACTAAGTACTTTATGAACAGGTAAGAAAATCTTCTATCATTCAGGTCTGTAACAATTAAAATCTAGAGGCAGGGTACTGATTTTATTATCCTCCCACTCACGAAAGCGATGCCAGAAAATGTTAATTATGCTGAAATTATTATCAAAAAATAACATCCCCAAAAAATTAAATTATTACATCAGCAATGTGCCCAGAAATGACCAGGATTATCCTAGTTTTTTTTAGGTTAAAGTAGTTTGATCTCTGCTTCAGAAATGTTCCATGAAAGAAAAAGGTAGAAAACCTTTGACACAGTGCAAAATGTAGTTAATATAGTGTTTGAGCTTACTGTATGATTTCACATCCTACCTCTTCAAGCCACCTTTTGGATTCATATTGTGCTGCTCAGAATCTGAGTCACCATTTTCTCAGTGCTTTCAGACCACTACAGATATAATATAAACTATATGTCTCTGCATATGTTCAAACCAGAACATTTTTAAGATGCATAAAAGAGGTGAAACAATCTCTGACAAAAATATACCTCACGGTGCTGCTAAAATATCCCCACACATATTGGCTGTGAAACGTTTGCATTTTTACTTCTATCGCTGAAAGCTACAAACTTCTGTCTTTGTGCTGCTGCTGCCTACACAGTGAGAGGGAAGATAAGATGCAATGAAGGAATTGAGAATAAGTGAATGAGAAAGCACGAGGAAGAACATAAATCACAAGCCCACGGTGGGGGAATCTGGTCTCCCACCGAACATCCATCACTAGAAGATGCGTGACTAGCTCTGCTTCTATAATCCCACACAGTTTGGGAATCACCAGCAGAAATCCTCACATTTCAACACCACTATAAAGCATCTTACTTACAAAAGTCTGACCAACGCTCCCAGTTGTCTCATACTTAAGTGAACGGCCTTTGATTTGAGACTAAAAGGAAAACTGTGATTAAAGGGAATGTTACTTATTTTCTGTGGGGTTCTTAGGCTGGGCTCATAGTATTTCAACCAAAAATTGGGTGAGAAACATGAGACCCAGTTTGTGGGGTTAGATTAGAGACTAAAAGAAGCCTCTTTGTTTTTCAGTCTGCCATTAATGAATGACTGAATGAATTTTCACTAAATCTCTTTCAAAGGATTGAATGAGAAACGCCAAGATGGTGCGTTCATGCCTCACAATAATGTCCATGTCCGGAGGTTGTACCGATCACTTCTTATATAGGGCTGGAGCTATAAAACGTTTAAGCCTTTAGCTCAGAAAACAACAAGGGAAGAGTCTCCTGACCCCAGCTGTCTGTGGACTGTACCACCAAGCCAATGAAACAGGAATGAGCTTCCAGCACAAAGGGCATCAACACACTGTTGTCATTTCTTTGTAAGTACTTTTTCTTTTGTAGTCAAATTTACCAGAGTAAGTAGGGTGAGTGATTCTTCCTGGGGGCACAGAACAAAAGAACAACACCCACGAAAAAAGAACAGAGCAAGAGCACATTTTTTAGTTTATTAAGTGAGCCACAAACTGGTAATTTCTGCTATTTTTAAATAAATGTTCAAGTAAATTGTAAAGGCGAAGCAGTTACAGCCTCGTCTGTCAGCACATATCATCATAAGAAACTGATTTAGTATTATACAGCAAAAACTAATAAAAAAAATTTTAAATCTGTGTATTTGCCTCTAATTTCAGAAAGGAAACTGGATTTTGGCTCTTAGAACAATATAGATTCTGTAAAATTCCAATAAGATAGTTGTTTTCTTTCTTTAAACATAAATCTTCTAATCATATCTGCTTGAATTAAGATAATATGCACCTAGGAAGAAATACTGACTTACATTTACATTTTTGCAGTTTATGTTTTCATTACAGGGGCCGTATCAGGGGCTAGGACCTGTTCTATGGGGGCACTGGCCCCCACCTTGAACCGCCCATGTCTAACATCCTGTGTATTTTTCATAGAAATATACTTCATTTATTTATTTATTTTTGGTGCTGAATAAAATTGTTCCAGAGAGCCTGAGGACTCCAAACCCAATAAGCCATGTCTATTTTTTGATCCACAAGACTGACTTAGGGACCAATTACAATAAATTAGTTTATGTTAAGATATTTTTTACCTTTTACCTGGGCGTATAGCGGGGAAGCTAATGCTAACTATAAGGATGCAGCCAACATTTTATCTTATTATAATATATATATAGAGAGAGTATAGTCTTGTTTACAAATTTAATTGA